GTCACAATCCTGTGCTTTTGCTACTTCACAATAGAGAGAACATGTTTTAAGAGGATTTATATTGTCTTCAAGCTAAATTGTTCCAATACATGCGTGTGTGCATGTGTATATACATATAAATAAACAAAAAAACCCTTGTCCATCTTTTATTGATACAAAAAGTACCCTGAATGTTGACAGGGATTGTTAAGGCATTATGTACTTGGTACCATAACGAGGTTGTTTTCATGCCATCTGAGCAATATCTTAGTGAGTGATAGGAAAAATGGGCTTGTCTGCTCTTGCAAGTTGCTTTGTTTGCATGGCAGCTAGATGATGTTTTAAGGAGGTAAAATTAGTACAGTCATCATCTGCTTGTATTACGCAAGAGAAAATATTTGTGTAGACCCACCAATGATTTTAGCTAAATGGTCTAATGCTCAGACTGCCACTTTGGCATACGGAAAACAACAGACTAAAGTTTTAGACCACACTCTTAATGATCACTGCAAATAGCATTAATTTTAAAGAACTTACTTCACATCAAGCTTATTTCAGGTGCTATAAATTTATTATGGATCTAAAATTGGACTGGATTTCACTGGACTTGTCCAGCAGTCCTACTGAGCATAACAGAATGCTTTAATGTAATTAATTCAGACTTAATGTTTCTATCTATCAGTAATCTGTGTCTCCTCCAGTGTTTCTGTGAAGCTACCAACTTTTTCCAGGTCTGGTCATGGGTTTTCAACCATGTGCGATTCCAGTTTTGTAATATATTCCATTATATTTCTGTACTGATATAAAGTACCAACTCAGTTCTTTACCTCACTTTTCTGCACCATCTCAATTTTCATTTAGTTCCCCTTGTAATTATAGGCGGACCTAGTCATATTCTGCTCAGCTGAATGGAACTAACAATATCATAGTGTAAGATATTATTCCTGCAGGTAAAATCTGAGAAGTCTAGCTTATGTGATTTTGCCCATCCAGGATGTGTTTTCATCTTAATGCCTCTAATACTATTTTTTGCTACACTCCTCTGAGTTAATCAGGATTCCATTTCTAAGTTTGTTTATATTGTATTTATCCAGACCTCTTTGTAATACAGGCAACAGTGTTTCCTTATACTTAACAGCTGTAAATATATATACATAATAATGAAAAATTGTTACCTTTTATGTAATTTCAGTCTACCTACATGACTGGCAACGAACTCATCATTGATGGAGGATGGAGCTTGTGATCAACTCTACCTGCAGATGGAGACTTACACTATTAAAGGCAAGAAGTGAGGGTCATGTTTCTCAGTTAAGAGTTTGCATAGATTTAAATCACTCACATGATGTCATCCATACAAATCTGGTGCATTTTTATGATTGTGATCTATTTCTAGATTGATTTTACAGATTCACTTTTCTCTAAATGGTGAAACATTGGAGTAAAACATATTTCATGTTGCTTCTTTTTATGGTAACTCCTGGAGCATGAGCAGGATTTTAGCCTTTCAGATATCAATGTGCAAGGAATATTATTTAAGATACAAGATAAAAATCTTACTTTAAGCAAATCTAAATTAAAGAAATTAAATACTACCCTTATTTTCAGTCTGCAAAATATTTGGAGGTTGACAATTAGACTTCCTACCAGCATTAGCAGGCTACCCAGAGAAAACAGACTACTTTTAAACCAGCTGAACAATTACTGAACTAAGTGTGGTTCGAACAACAGAGGACGGCAGAAATAATAGCGTGTTTGAATCATTCTGTAACTGTCGATAGATGCATCTATATTAGAGAGCATACTAGTTCTTGCAAATTATATGTTAAAGTCCATCCTGCTTTGCAAATTATGATTTTTTTCTGTTCTCTGTAATAACTGTAGAAAAATGATCTGTGTTGAATTGTTGAAAAGAATCTGTCCCAAGTCTGACAACACTTAGAAATCCAAGTCTGACAACACTTAGAAATCCAAAGTGGAAGGTGCCTTTGTCAGATGGTCTCTGACCATCTGACAAATGTATAGATACATAGTAAATGGGCACAACAAATTCCTGCGCATACAGTAAAGAGTCGGTGTACATGCACAGCTGATTTATGCAACTGCAATATCCTTTTTCCACCTATGGAAAGGGAAGTTAGGCTGTTGGAATCTGGAAAAATAGTAAGTCGTAGCAAAATACAGAACAACAGATTGCAAGTAGAAGCAGTATAACTAGCAGCCTTGTATAGTTTCAGAGGTTTGGGGCTTTTTGTTCAAGCATACAAAGATTGTAGACACTGTTTTCATGAAGTAGAAATGATGCAGATAAACCTGCTGTAATAGCTGTTAAAAGGCTAAGGCTTATGGCACGTAGAGAGCATAGAAAATCATAGGTAGTTTTGCAATCACTTTGAAAATGAGTGTATTTGCTAGTCCCGAAAGGTTGTACTAGGAGAATGACATGACCATTAATATGTCATTAATAGTATAGATTAATCCTAAAATTATCTTGGAATTCTTCACAGCGTCTTTTCTGTCTGCATTGTACAGAAAGTACTGTGCAATGATGTCACTGGTAGGCGTGTATACATAGAGAAGTATTCTGAAAAAGACAGATAGATCTTCATGAACACGTTTGACTTCTGGCAAGCCAAAGGAGTGGGTTTTACCACTTTATCCACAGCCAATATATTCCCCTTCCAAAAGGATACACTAATGAATGTACCAATGCTGGACAAATACTGCCAGCTCTGTAGACTAGGTGCTAGACTTAGATAATCTATTGCTGAATTCTCAAATACCAATATTGGTCTTGGTAAAACACAGACTTAAGTTTCTACAAGAGCTTGTGTTGATATTTTTGTTGTGGTAGCACATTGAAGCTTTGATTATGAATCAGAAATCTATTGTGGTAAAGGCTCATACTCTGGAGAGGGGGGAGAAATCACAACCCAAAGATTTAAGGCAACAGGCTGAATTCCAAAGCTTTTTGGTTTGCTAACATACTATTAAAATTTATGTGAACGACAAATTTACAAGACTGACTTCCTATAAATATGGCTGTGTTAAGAAATTCAGCATAGCTCTGTGAATCTAGTCTGTGAATGAAGCTGTATGCAATTGCGATTTTTTTCATATCTATGAAACTGGTATAGATATGGGGGGAATAAATGATCAATGAGTGTGATTGGTCAGTAATCAGAAATCATGGGGGAAAATGTACTCTATTTTATGCATTTTTCTGTAATGACTGCCATGTTTTTAAGTGATTGCTTAATTTTTTTGATATTTGCTGAACCATTAATAGAGATTGATTTCAAAGACGTGCAACATGTCTGGTTAACAGCAAGCTTCTTGTTTGTAAAACTGTACTTAAAAGCTTAAAATGAGAAAGCATTGTGGAGGCTGGCTCCCTCAGACTTGTTATGGGTTTAACTCTTAGCTTGAATCACGGTTGGGACGTTCTGATCTGTGTAGTTGGTTCATGGGATTTTGGGCATGTTCTCTAGTATTTCAGTAAAGTGACCCAGCAGCCAAGCAGGATAAAGTTGAGGCAAAAATCCAAAGTTATCCAAAACAGCTCCACCGATGCTCACTGACGTAAATGAAAATGCTGAAAGTTCAGGCCAACAGGATACAGTTTGTGTTTTCAGAGCTTAATACGAAGGCCGAAGTTGTCGTCCTGTAGCTGGTACAGAAGGCTGGCCTTGGAAAGGATCTCCCTGCTGCAGCAGGTCAGGAAACTTGCACTGTCCATTTTGAAAACAGAACTATGAATCTGAGAGAAACTTCAATATACTTATTGCAAAGAGAACTTCATTAGTAAACGTTTCTAAGCTCTCTGGTGACTGTCATACACCAATGATACTCAGATGTGTTTTTTTTTGATAAAGCACACCTGCAAGAAAAGGAGAAGCCATCCACTTATTATATTACAATAAAAGCACAGGGAGATACATTTTTCAGTGAAGTTAGTTGTCATGATAAACATGATAAACAACATGATAAAACAAAAAAAAGCATATTTCTGTCTCTTGCTTTGCTAGCAGAGCATGTGTTGCATTTCAGAATTTGAGCTGTTCACACATCGACATATTTTCACGGATGTCTAGGGGGCATGTCCATGTCATGGATGGTCTAGGAGGCTTTTTCCCCAGAATTATCAAAGGAGAATGTTTTTAAATACCCCTGTGACTTCTTAATTCCCTGGTCTGTTTTTATGGATCTGGGTTATCTCATTTCATCTCCTGTCACCCCAGTGATGATATGAAGAGGAGTGTGACTCTTCAGATTTTAGGGCAAGCTTTTCTCTTGGGGAGGCTTTAAGAGATGTCTCACCTTCTGAGCATTTCAGGGAAATTTAATCTGATCACAAAACAGCTTTTTTTTTTTTTTTCCTTCAGATTTGCAGTTGCTTTTGCTGCGTGTAATGCTACAAGGAGCAAAGTAGCAACGTGTTGCACTTGAATCTACTTTCACATGCTCCTCCCAGCATGGCTTGCAAAATGAGATTGCGAGAGCAGCTCTCTTATCCCCTCGGGGTACTTACAGCTGAGGTGGGCACCCTCGCTCCTTTGAGAAGCAGCAGGATTTTCTCAGGAGCACCACAGATGTGCAAATGCTTTCATTTTCTTGCCTGTCCCAGTGCAGTTCCTCTAAGGTGCTGTGGGCTCAGGGCTGCTCCATTGCCCAAACACCCCTGACACCTGCCTTCCACCCCAACCCCTCCACTGCCCCGGGGGACCACTATCTACAGCACCAGGAGATAAAGTGACATCTGGGAAGCCTTTCTAGGTCCCCCCAAGCTGCAGATTGAGGGCCTTGCTGCTTCATCTTGTGGAGCTGTGGAGGAGGGACTGCGCTGGACTAGCGGCAGCAGCAGGGGAGGAGGAGCCAGAGCTGGCACGGAGCTGTTCCTGCTTACAGGGAGCGGATTAGCACCTCTCCATCTCCGTGTGCTGGAGGGGCTGCCCAGGGGCATGGTCTTTTCTCTGAATGCTGCCGTTCCCCAGGTAAGTTTCCCTCCGTCCTGTTGCATCTCCATCCCCTGCAGCTGGATGCAGCAGGAGGAGCAACCCAGGGACTGCTCCCCAGCTGTGCAGGGCGGGAGCTGCTGGGGGAGGTGGGGAAGGAGATTGCATCAGGGTTTCCTTACGCCTTTTTTCTGGGTGACGGCTGTCGCTTTTTGTTTAAATCTTAGCGTTAGTTGCTCTGGCAGTGTTGGTGGCATTTTGTTTGCGTTCCTTTCTGGGCTGTGTGTGCGCAAAGCAGACTGTTGACCGTCACCAGGGCAATAGGGCTAAAAATATCGGCATGCACATGCTGCCCGTCAGTCATCTTTTGAGCCCTGCTCTCCCCCGCTTTTCTTCTCCCTCCTATGAAAAACAAGTAAAATCAGAGGATCTAATAAAAACTGCTATAAAAAGCCTTTCTTTTTCAACAGTAAGGGAAGTATATTTTACAGAGATGTACTCAAATAAGCCTGGTACTGGCTGGTTTCCACAATACAAGCCTTAACAGGGGGCTGTGAGTTCTGCCACATGGTTTCTCAATCCCTGATTTTGTTTGCACGGAGGGTGACGTTTTGTTTGCTTTTTCCTCTGTGTGTATGTGTTTTTTCTTGTGTATTTGGGGGCTTTTTTGTTTTCTTTTGTATGTGTGTTGTGTTTTTTTTGGGGGGGAGGAAGGTTGGTTTTAAAATGGGCCTGTGTTTTGCTTATGAACTAACTACTTGCTTTGAGCTCATTCATCCCACTTCCTATCACTCAAAGGTAGCAGCAGTAAGAACCTGACAGGATGAAGACCTGTCCCCCAAAGCCCAAAGGTAGAGCACACGCTATCACACTTCTCCATTCCCACCTTGAAACAATCCCTGCCCAGCAGCAGAGAACCCCATCCCCTTGCTCAGTGAATCTTTCCTCTCCTTTATGCCACTGTGAGCAGGAGTCATGGTCAGTCTATGGCACTTCTTCTCTGCCGCTCCTTTTCAGTCACTCTCATCCCCTGTGCTGTGGGGTCCCACCCACGGGATGCAGTCCTTGCTGAACTGATCCGGCATGGGCTTTCCACAGGCAGCTGCTCTTCCAGAACTGCGCCAGATGTGGGTCCGTACCACAGGGTCCATCCCTCAGGAGCAAACTGCCCCAGCACGGGTCCCTCACAGGCAGCAGCTCCTGAGGAAAACCTGAGGAAATGGTTAGTGAAGGGAAGGAGGGAAGAGCTGGTAGCTTGCTGATGCTTTCTAGTCCAGTGACTAGACTGGCATTTGTGGATTCCTGGCCCCAGTGCCTAGGCAAAATCTTGAATCTTTCCTGGAATTTTAGATCTTGAATCTTTCCTCTGAGGAAAAACAGAAGTATCACTTATGACGCTTTTTTTTTTTTTTTTAAAAAAAAAAAAAAAGACTGCCACTGCTATTTGGATCCACAAACAGTAATTAAAAATGTAGGAAGGTACTGAAAGTAAATATCTTCAATTCAAAAAGAAAAGAGAGCAAAGCCATTAAATTGGAATGCACTGAAACTATGGTTTTGTATTCTTTCTCTACGCCTTAGCTACGTCTCAATCCAGTTTCATATCAGAACAGCTCAAATAAAACCACCCAGGTGTTAAAACAGCCCTGTCTTTGCTCAAGAGTTCTTTCCCAGATCTCAAACGTATTATAAACCCAAGGCTTGATAATTGTGAGAATTAGGTCCCTGATTTGCTTCCAGCAATTCATCAAGGAAGGAATTTGTTGGCTCAAGCATTCTGGCACAACTTGAGTTGTGTTTTATACGGCCAGAGTAAGGTACAGGGCTTCAAGAAAAAGCTGTTAGCATTGATAGGTAGTCGGTGGAGCTGCTGTGACAAAGAACTCTAAGCCTTGTCTTCAGACATGTGCATGCAATTCTTATTAACTCAGACTTGTGAAATTACAGTAAATATCCATACACAGTTTCATTTAGGACACTGACATATCTCTTGTTACCATCAACAGAACCAGCAATGGACCATTTAGTCTAAGTAAATACAATGATAATTACCCACAGTCAGCTTGGAGCTTACTATCCCTCTCTCTGAGAAGTATCTCTCATTGGATATAAGCTGTAAAAAAGAGCCAGGTTTTCTCAGCCTTGTAGAATGCAAGTTGTATATATTTCTAATCTTCAAATTGGGCTGTGAGGTTTGTTTTTTTTCACCTGTTTTATAAGGAAGAATAAATATCATTGAAAAGTTTTGTGTATGGAAAATAATATTACTTCTGTAACTTTTCTATCTTTGTTGCTTTCATTAGGTTTGCCACAATGGTGAAAGAAGGTATGTTAAATGAGAATGAGGATTCTGAGCCATCCCTATGTGAGAGAAATAGCATGATTCCCATGCATGAGAAAAGTGAGGTAATTAATTAGCATCTCAAAGTACAGCTTTAGTTAGAAGAACCCTCCTTTTCCTTTCTCTTTTCTTGCTGCATCTGTTAAACTGCTGAACAGAATGCAGAGAGAAATCTGTGGGAATTTCTTATCATTAACAGAAGTTCAGTTTTAAAAAGTGTGTTACGTTGGATTGCTGGAAATCACTGGCTACAATTTCAGCCTGTACTAGAAAATAAATCACTGTAAGATTCACAGTCAGCTGTGGAAGAGAATTAAATGGACTTGGGATTGCTTCTCTGTTTTCAAATTGTACAGATCAGTCTGATTGCTGAAGTTATTCATGTATCTCTTCCCTTTTTTCAACTAATAAAAATTTTAAAATCACAGTTTTAAACTTCCATTATGCACAGTTCTCGTGTTGACTTCTATATTTAAAAAAAAAAAAAAAAAAGACTTGCAGCAAATGGAAGAATAAAATTCTTAATAGAAAAGGCACTTTCAGTTAAACACACGGTATTGGCTGTAAAGATAAGTATTGTATGGCATAGCTTTATATGCACGTGTGGTTGGTGATAGCAGGATCACAGGGTAGAAAACCAAGTAGCTTCACACTCAAAAGCTCACAAGATTTGGTGTTCCAACTGTGACTCTGAGTAAGGGCTATATATATATATGAGACAGACAAATAATGGGAAACGTGGAACTGTTACTGGATGAAAGCCAAACCACAGTATAGGCAAGAATTCCACGCCTGTGCTATGACAATGAGCTGACATGAAGTGGAATAACTCTACGGGAAGGTAGATGATTAACTTGTCAAAAATAAGGACCCTAAAACGAAGTGAGGCATATACCCAAAAATGGTCAAAAAGTGCTTTGGCTATGAATATGGATAAGCAGCTGAATTAGTATAAAAGAGCACCTTCAACAAACTGTGCTTCAGGAAACCTGAGTAATACTTCTCTTCTACCTTGGCTTAGCAGCTGAGCCTTCCACCAATGGATCACGTGAGTGATGCTTGCACCAGCCACCTGTGCTGTTTCTTTCATCTTTATGTAATAAGGAGTGGGTTTGGTTATTTTGGTTCAAAGCTTTTTAACAGAAATTATTTAGGAGTTATGATAAAGGTACTGTCTCACTGGGGTGATGCTAATTGTTAACTTGTTTGTGGAATCCAGTGTGGAAGCAGAACCTTATCAAACTCTAGAAAATACCGATAAATATTTAGCTCATACCCAAGACAATCTGAACCCTGGTTGTTAATATTGTTTTTCTTCAAGTATTCTTCAGCTGAACAGGTACTATGCGTTCAGCAACAGGAGTTCTGTTAGTCACAGATAAAAGGTAAATGTCCTGCAGCTTCTCATTTGCAGATCTTTGCGGGGTATAAAAACAATCAGAAAATGCCTTATGTGCTACAAAGCTCTGACCTTTCCTGTAGTACAGCAATACTTTACTTCATGTAGTCATCAGTGGACAGAATGGACCTAGCACATCACAGCTGATTGCAGATGTCTGGTGCACCACTACAAATACAGACAGTGCTGCTTCTGAGAGGATCTTACTGCTTTCATTTCAGGAGAGACCAACAGGAGACACCAAAAGTGCCGATGGGAATATACAAACAGAAGAAACTGCTCTCTTGAATCACTCTGCTCAGCAACCTCCAGAACCAACACCAGGATCTTCAACATCTACAAGAACATGGAGGCAAACATTTGCTTGCCCACCCCAGGGTTTCCTGGCCCTAGCAGTGACGAACGGTATGTAAAAAAGTGACAGCACAAAACGTTCAGTTAAACTGAGAAATGGCAAACAAAGTACTTGTTTCTCTGGATGTGATGATTTCTAACTATTTTCCTTAGAGATAATGACGGGAAATAGCTATGTTTTTGCACATCATACCTTAAACATTTCAGCAGAGGTAAAACAAATATTCGTATTATTTTTGGTCCTCTATCCTGTATTCTGTGTTCAATGTGGCAGATATGTCTTTGCACTGTAAATTGCTTTTATCAGGAGAAAGACCTCCTAATTCTCATCTTAAGTCTCTTTTTGTGTGAGAACATTAAGATGATTATAAACACAGTGCATTTTCCACATGCTAGATGGCTTTTTATTGAATTAAGGCAACAAAAATGAGGCTGTGGTGATAGCTTCCTCTGTGTGGAATACCCTATATTTTAAAAGCCAAGAATCCTAGCTCCAAGACAAATAAATTCATTTTGTTTAAGATTTGCCCTGCACTCTAATCTCACGTAAGAGAATGCCTGGCTAACCAGTTATTTCAGGCTTTTCCAAGCAAAAGATATTTTCTGTGGTTTTGACTGTTTTTACAGTCTCTGCCCTCTCTCAGTTGGGATTCTTTGATATTATGTTTGGAAAACTACTGGTCTCCCATCACTCTCAAATACAAATAAGAAAAGTCCACCCCGAAAATGCAATATATTTCCTTACGATTATGAGAAGGGGGATTTATACAACGAACTTTTTTTTTTTTTCTCTCTCCTTCCCTCTTCTGCTTTTATACCTATGCATCTTTGTTCTTGCTGCATAGCTGTAGGAACAGACTTGGAAACCTGGAAAGAGTGTAACATCTTCACATGTTCTGTAACATGTTCACATATTTTTTATTTTTTTTTCTCTCTGTATTATTCCTGTTGGATTGCTGTACCAAGAGCAGTATCTGTACTACCTTAGGCTGACCAGAGACATGACCTTCTTCAGATATTTTTCCCCTAGGGATAGCAATGCGCTGTATGAACATACCTAGCCAAAAAAAAAAAGAGATACTTCATGAAGTTCCTTTAGAAGTGAGCATAGAGCTGCAGTCATTAGCTCAAAGACTTGCCAGGCTGTACAGCAGCAGGCTCCTACTGCAGCTGTTAAGCAGTTGAAGGAAAATAGTTGAAATGCAAGATAAGTTTTGTGAAAGTCTTGGCTTTGCTTGGGACCTATTAAGTGCTTTCCACAGTCGCCTAAGATTTTTCTCAATTGATGATTTTCTTGTTACCATTTTCTGAAGTATCTTTGTGTCTGCAAAATCAGAACATCGGCTTAAGGATCATTAAAGATTAAATGCATTGCTATGATTAAACTCATTTTTAAGGTAAGAAGCCTTAATTCTGGGATTTCATTGCACCTTTTTGCCTACTGGAAAAACAAATGTGACCTCATAGTGAACTTTAGCATTAGAAATGATTAAATATGAATATTTCTGTTCTTGTTCTAGTTGCACTCGTGGCCCTGGTTTGGGCTGTGGTTTGGTCCATCACTGGCACCAAATGTCTCCCAGGTGGAAACCTGTTTGGAATTATGTTTCTTTATTTTTTTGCTGTCATTGGTGGTAAAATTTTTGGACTCATTAAAATACGAACACTGCCACCTCTCCCTGCTCTTCTGGGTAAGACACCCTTCCTTCTTTTCTTCCTGCATAGCAGTGTTGTTTAAACAAGTGTCACCTGCATGTTAGATACGTTTGGATTAGGAATATGCAAACTGCAAAGTCCCCAGATCTATAGCTTTTCCAAGCGACTTGTGTCTGCTCCCCTTGGAGAAGGTGCAGAAATTCGCAGACTGGCTCAGGTGAAATGGCCTGGATGTTACCGAGCCTCCTCTTTATCCTCTTGGTTAGATCAGGTGTGATATTGTGAAGTACTGTGGTGCCAATGAAACTGGAAAAGGCTGCCCCCTTATTGTGCTTAGTCTATGAACAAGTAGAGCTCCTGATACAGGGAAGTCTTTGTGGCAGAGTGGGCTAAAAATATCTGCCTGTAGCGTGTTTGTGATTTGTAACCTGCATAGCTGGTGGTGTCTCACACGGTAGCACCTCTTAGAGGAGAAAGGCTGGATAGCTTTGTATGTAGCACTGGTCAGGCAGCGTGCATATTCCTGTACTGCTTAGCTTCACGAGTGAGAGCAAATGCAAATGAGAGGGAGGGAGGTTTTGCATGTGGCATGCCTGCAGGAACACAAACAGACTTTTACAAGCAGGGAGTCTGCCCTAAGTAAACATCTACCTTAAAAAAAAAAAGTTTCTGACCATCTGGATTCTGCTTTTTTCAGTTCCATCTGTATCTAAAAGCTGAGCTGAGCATGAAGCTGCTTGTCTGACCGGCACTAATGAACAACAGCAACTTGAGCATGATGGCACATGTCTGGCGAGCTGCTTGTGTTAGAGTTCGTTGTTCACATCCATGGTCTTTGAGGAAAATCAGAGCAATCTGAGACAAAAGAAGGAATAGACCATGTCTTTATGGAGTCTTTTTTTTATTTTTCCCACTAAAAATACAAATTTTATGCTCTTGCATAGGATGCGTAGGAATCCTTGCATTTAATCTGTATTAAGTGCACTGTGGCTGGCTTAGCACTCCGCACATTATAGCGAGCTTCTGCAATGAGGGGAAAAAAGGAATGAAATTGGTACAGAAACAGTCACATGGTATACTTCAGGTATACATTGCAGAGAGGTGTAGCTGGCAAGGTGAAGCAGAACAACGAAGGTATCTTTTAAGGTGGTGAGGTTTTTTCTTTGTGAAGCAGACTTCCGAATTCGTATAGATCCGGTACTTGGATATCACACTCACACACAAAAAAAATTTGCAAAGAGCATGTGATCATTATGCTAGCCTGGTATAATTGTCACGAGGTACTGCAGACTAATAATGCCACTTTTTTTTTTTTTTTTTTTTTTTTTTTTTTTCTGAGAGGGAATGGGAAGAACAGTGTCCAAAAGTTTAGTGTGTTCCAGGACAAACCAATTCCACAGTCAAGGCTTACAGGCTCACATCAAGCTGTGACTACCCTGAGCACAGTATTTATTTACTTTCTGCTTTTTTTTTTTTTTTGATTTCCTGTTTGTTAACATGATTAATATGAAATTACACCATGAAAATGCAGGTCCCAATGACTCAAAGATACAATTAACCTTTACAGACCTATAGATAAAGTTACCCTTTTCCATACTTACCTGTATCTTTCCAGAGCTCCAGTTCTGATAGCTTTGCAGGAAGTCTCTGCTTAAAAAGTTTTGCTAATATTTGCAAAAGGTTGGATCTTACAGGTAGCTTAAATAAAGGATAAGAGCAAGTTCCTGATATTCTCCCCTTTTTTCCCCTTTGCATAAAAGTTGTATTGCCAGAGCATTTTAAAATCTTGAGTTGGTCCATGATGAGCTGTTTCAGCTAATTTTCCAAGGAATTCAGCATTATGGTTCCTGTGATCGCTGCATTTCTTATACCTAAAAGGATTTTTTTGAACAGTTTCTAACATCTGAGATAAATATACAATATTATTACATGATCTTACTCTTTGCATTTTAAAACAAGCTGACAAGCAAAATATGTTTAAGGATCCAGAGCTGTTTTTGCTTATGGTACGTATGACCTGCACTTAGTGAACAAATTTGAATTCTGTTGACTCTTGCTAGAGTTAAAAAAAAAAAAATTAGCTACAGCTAAATTTATTTATTGTGTTCTAGACGTCTTTCATTGCTTTAAGCATCTCTGTTTCGAAGTACCCGTCTCTAAAACAAGGCTAATACAGAACCGGAGCTGTTTCTTTGTCTCTTATATATCGCACAGTGTTTATTTTAACAATTTGAGGTAAGTTTTCATTGCAGTCAAACAAATCATTTGACAGCAGTTTGTTTGCTTTCATTTAAGGGATGCTACTTGCTGGTTTTCTCATCCGAAATATCCCATTCGTTAGTGACATTGTCCAGATCAACCTAGACTGGTCTAAAGCACTGAGGAGTATTTCTCTTTCAATTATCCTGACTCGAGCAGGACTTGGCCTGGATCCAAAGGTATGGCACCAGCCGTTCATCTGGGGTATAAAGCATAGAAGAGCCCTCTAAAAAATGCATAATTAAGTATTTAAAATTATTGACCTGTTCCGTCTTAAAGGATTTGTGAATTAGAGCATTACAGAAAGCATAGTTTTGACTTGTATAGTCTCGTTAATCAATATTGGTGACTGGATTTATAGAGTTGGTGAGCAATCTAAAAAACACCTGAAGGAAACTGATTTTATGACTATTTACTCCCCCTTGCCTTAAAGAAACGTCCTTAATTTTGTGAGCAGGGCTGTCCTGAGGACACACAATGCATCATAGTCTGTCAGGAGGCATTCACACTGCCTGACAAACTACCTGTCATTTTACACTGACAAACTAAAACGAGTAATGAAGGGAGTCCTTATCCTGGAAGAAAAATGTTGTTTGTGCTGACACAAATCAAACAAACAAACAAAAACTTTTGTCTTTTTCACTTTTTTCCTTTCTCTTTTTTTTAAATCATTGCAAGTTTTATGCCAGTATGTTAAATTTAAAGATAATTCCAGATGTACTACAGAAACAGTGCTTCACAGCACTGTAATGGCCATAAATGCTTCTGTGAACAAAATAGTTTTCCTCCACATGCTTGAGGAATTCATTTTCCCTAATAAATTATTTATAATTTTATAATAGATAATTTGTAATAAAGTTTTATAATTTATAATAAGTTATTTTCCCTAATAAATTTATATTCCCTGAATTAATTAATAAAAGTTTTTGCTGGATCAAAATCAGCTGAAATAAAGCTGTGCCATATTGGCCCTTATCTATTTAAGTGGCTGTTTGAAGTTTATAGCAAACTTAGTTTAATTATAGCTAGTGCAGGTCAACAAATCTGATTTTCTTACCCACAATGAAAACTAGGGAGTTTGATTTTTCAGCTATTTAGGAAAACAGGGTTTTGTCATTCCTGAAATATATTATGGTTGTTCATTTTATGAAGATATCGAAGCTTGTGTATCTTGTATTAGCGTGTCCTGTGCATTGTTACACACAGCTTGAGTGCCCAGTTACACGAGATTGCTTTTCTTTCTATTCCCTGACAACGTTTTTGGCCAAAGGAATTTCATCTTTGACTCATTTGTCTCCCATGTGGCAATCGAAACTGTCATTTGGACTCCATATGTAGCAAGGCTTTGATGTGCTTACAATTGTTCCTTGTGTAATTGAAGCCGTGAAGACAAAGATGTCAGTTGCTCTGGTGATTCTCAGCCCTAATTATGCTGGGATAAACTGCGCTAGTAAAAACTGCAACTCACTGTGATTTTTTCCATGTCAAAATTTAGGGACTCGTCCTAGCAGAGTCATGGTTGTGACTAACTGCTAAAGGCTGCTTTTAGAATCGGATACTCATTTTTAGAGAAGTTTTTGGATAGAAGTTGCAGAGCCAAAAGGAACTTACCCTACTCTGGGTATCGAGTGAGAGTCAGCTGAAAGAAATGCTTGGCTCCTTTCTCTAATTTCAGGTAGTTTTAACTGTTCATCATTTGTTCAGATTTGGGGATGATTTTTTGGGGTGCTCGTGCAACTTATGGGAAGAAAGCAAAATCTTCCGTGGACAGAGTCAGATGGGTTAAGGGTACGCTTTTCAAATGATACATTGCTCAAGCCTCTCCTATGTTGTTTGCACTGCACAAGAAGCCAAAGAATCCTCAGCTTCCCCTTCCTCCAATGTGCAGGGACCTTAGGAAACGTGTATTTGGTGGGTTTCACTGCCACACTTGTAACTTGATACCCAAATTCAGTTGTGCTTGAGCCTGTCTCTGGCATGGGCCATGTAAAAAAATAATACCCCACACTTTGGCTTAAAGGGAATTCTTTCAATAAACTGATCAGACCACAAACATTATTCCTCTTTATGAAGCTAGGGGTACTGATGCTAATGTTTGCGTTTGCTTTTATATTGTAGGCCCTTAAGAAACTCAAAGCAGTCTGTTTACGGCTCTCTTTCGGACCATGCCTCTCAGAAACATGCACAGCTGCTGTTCTCGCCTATTTATTCATGCATTTACCATGGCAATGGGGATTTATATTAGGGTAATGTACTCTCTTTTCTCCTGTATGACAAAGGTGCCTATTTTCATGCTACGGCTAGATGATCCAAATGCAGTTAGTTCTCTGCCAAGCAGACGCCTCAATTTAATGCCAGTTAGGAAGCTGTGCTTAGCCCATGTGGTTGTTTGCTTACCATTCATGTCTGGGTCTGTGGCTAATTTAAAGGTCACATTTCCAAGCAGTGGAGGAGTACTTGCATCATTTTTCTTCTCTGTTTGTGATCTGGGCATTACAGAAGGAAGAAGGATGGTGCAATCCCTGGGTTTTTAACCACAACACAAAGGGCTTTTAGGGACAGAAAATGATACTGCAGTTTTGTGCTCAAATGCAGAATTTCCCCTTTGAGAGATGCACACAGGACAGCCTTCTGTCACAAGTTGAGGATAAGGATATGGCATCATTAAATTTCGGAGTAATATCCTTGAAGAGGTAACATTTTCAATCTAGGTTGTATCTAAACTGGTGGACTCAGGCCAGACCACATACTAGAGCAAGATGGATGCACTCCTCTGCCACGTGCTGAATTTTGAGAAGGAACTGGGCACTCAAATTGTAAGCGTGTCTAGACCAGGTTCCTAAAGTGGACAACAAAGGCGTGTATCAGGGAGTACAACTGTGTAAAGTCAAATCTTAGTCTGTGGAACCCTTTATTTGGAACACTGAGTTACATGGTCAGGAAGTAAAAGCTGACTGCGAATCTGCATGAAAATATCCCTGCTTGTAATGAGCAGGGAAAAGGACAATATCTTATGTAAAGGTCGATGTGAACTTCAGGAGAGAGATCAGAATGTTCTGAAGTTCTTTCTTTCTAAGAGAGGCTGACACCATGTGTTTCCAGTTTCGTTCTAGGTGCAGTCTCTCCTGCTGTTGTGGTTCCCTCAATGCTGATTTTACAGGCTGGGGGATACGGAGTGGAGAAAGGTGTCCCAACTTTGCTAATGGCAGCTGGCAGCATTGATGACATTCTGGCTATTACAGGCTTCAACACTTGCCTTGGGATGGCTTTCTCTTCTGGTATGCTCCTTAATCTGTAGGTGGTGACATCCAGGACAAACTGTGATACTTTGAGGCATGCATGCTCTGTTATGACTGACTGGTTTGTATCTTAATGACATCTCCTTGTCAAGTTCGTGAATGGACTTGAATATTGATAGAGAAATTACCTGTGGTCAAAAAAGTGACTTCATGTGACTCCATCCACTCTGAGTTGTGGGTCAACTTTCAAAATACTTTTTTTTTTTTTTTTTTTCTCCCGTCTACTCCCTCAGCTGCCGAGTCTGGCCCCTGTGTATCCAATATAGGTGCTCCCAAAGTTGCACTGTCTGGTTCTTTCAGGCCCATGGGTTCTCTCCTGACCCCTTCCCTTTAAAGTAATTTAAAGCTGAAACTGTCCTGGAATCACCCTCACAGGTCAGTGTGGTGTCTGTGTGAAGGGTCTGTTTAAGGGTTACTGAACACACTTTTATTTTGTCAAACAGGTTCCACTCTATACAATGTGCTCCGGGGAGTGCTGGAGGTTGCTGTTGGCGTAGCAGCTGGGGGAATTCTGGGAATGTTTGTTCGGTATTTCCCAAGCCATGATCAGGTAAAAAATATATATAAATAGTTTAAAAAGCCTGTTATATAAGAGATTCTTCGCTAAGGGATGCTATTCTTATGTTATCCATTTTCAAGTTTCATACGAAGCTGTTTTTTGGGAAAGCAGTGTACAGCTCTAACAGCTTCTAACATTTCAAAGCCTATGGAGCAAGGATGTGTTTTAAAGATGATTACTTGCTTACTGCAACGATACCAATGTGTGATCTCACAGGCCTTCCTGATGCAGAGCTTGGAGCCCAGCTCACCATCCTGCTCATTGAAGGTGGTGGTAATGTTCACATGTAAAGGGAAAACCTATTTCAGACAGTAGAATAATCATCAATTAAATTGATGTGCAACTCATTTACTTCTCTAAAATGTTTCCATTAGGCCTAAGATAAAATAGACAGATACGGGCTTCAAGTGATCAGGCATATTAACATCAATTAGAATGTGTTACTTCTGATTAAAAATTATGCTTATATAAAGTGATAGATGGATTTACTTTCAAGTATAATTAAATGAACAGAAAATTGTAGAAGTAAATAGATACACTCTGGATTACTGAAGTCAATTTCCAAAGCACCTATTGCCCTTGGTGGGACCAAATTTTCTTAATAAATAACATGAGAAGTGTGGCACGGAAGCTAATCAAATAAACAGAAATGGAGGGCAACAGAAGAGAGACAAATGTCTGCTATGAAACTGGAACAAATAAAACTAGCCTGACTGGCAGACGTTTGACTTGTCCTTAAAAACATTTAGTGGCATGGATTTCACTCCTCCTTGTATAAACTGTTCCAGCTGCTTGACTGTACAAGCAGAAAATGCAGTTATCATAGAGTTGAAGCACGGTGGTTAGAATCATGTTCCTTGTGATACAAAAAGTATGTTGGCAATAAGCTTCCGGATGGGCAGAGGAAAAGAAATGTTGAATTTCTGAAATTTTAGTTTGCTAGGAATAAGTGTCAAAAAAAAAAACTTTCAACACAACTGAGGAGTTCAAGTCTCATTTGAAAGCTTCAATTCCATCACAACAGTGCCCTTTATTGCTTTCAAATTAATAAGCATAGACTTTTTTCTCAATTTCTAAAAAGAAATTTACTCTGTTTCTTTCTTTTTTTCCTTGATTGCAGACATCTCTGTCATGGAAGAGATCGTATCTCGTACTTGGGCTGTCCATGTTTGCTGTTTTTGGTAGCATCCGCTTCGGCTTCCCTGGATCAGGAGGGCTCTGCACATTAGTCTTAGCTTTTGTTGCTGGTGTGGGATGGTCTGATGAAAAGGTGAGTGTTTACATAAAGAAGCATACCATACAGAAACTCGTTTGAGTGCACAGTTTCACAGAAGTTTGAATTTCTGTCAGAAGTGGCAGTGGTGCATTTATGAAACTTTAGGGGGAATACAGATTAAAAAAAAAAATCTGCATTTATTCTGGAAGTCTTTTACATTTAGTGCGACAGAAATTTACCATGGATGTGGATAAGGTAATGAATACTGACAGTGAAATGCTCACAAGCTTTCCTTACACATCAGCGCAATGCCTTTTAAGCCCCACAGAGATTTAATTGTCATGGCACTTGACTAGGAGTCCAGAGCTTTGTCCCAGAGTTGTGTGATGGTCTCTGTAACCTTAAGTGGTCATTTTAAGGTAAGATTTACTAACAGGTACCTAAATACAGTTGTGCGCACGGCCTGAATACCCTGAGCTTTTGTTCCTTGTGATTTTGGGAGATGAAATGGAAAGCATTATCCAACCATTTTTTCATCTTTCCCAAATCCTTGCCAGTGTATTCTGAACAAATGTAGAGAGCAGGATGCCCACACTAAATGGTGATATACAGCCATGCAGAAACCATACAGAAGGCTGTTTCTGAGCCACTTTCTCTTAGCTATGAAGCCTGCTTCCTCTTACTGTTGCTGCTCCACTGCATTTCTGTATCTTGGCACATCTCTTTTGCTTGATGCCACCAACACTTCATGTTTTGAGGTCATCTTTCTCTCCATAGCTATAGCCTTGAGACATGCAGTAAAGAAGGTGAGAAGAGAAGAAAGGAAAGGGAATCAGATAGATAATTATTCACATCTAGACACTAACCCCAGGAAGATCTCAAGGTTTGTTAAAATAGCAAACAAGAAACCGTGGTTTCTATTTAAAATACTACATTGTTGTCCAGTTTTAAAAGAAGGGAATCTTGAGATTTAACTACTTAAGAGCAGTACAACTCATAAAGCTCACTGAAAGCTTTTAAGCCATTTCAGAAGGAAGGTCCTTAAAAGAGGGTATGCAGTTAATAAATGCTTAGCTTAAATTCTTTTGATCTGTAGGTGAGACTTGTTGGTTGTAAAGGTGATGACTTCAAATGCCATAGCTCTTTTTGTCAAAACAGCCAGAGATGTCTGTTTACTGTACACTCAGTATTTTACCAAGATTTTCCTTCTGAGCCTCTCAGAGGCCACTGCCTCATGCTGTCCCCAGTGGAAGTTACTTAACAAATGATGTCCACAGAGAAAAAGGAACATTTATCTGCTTCAGCAATAGTGGGCTGTAAACAATCTGAAACAATGCTAACATCTGTAAAGAGGATTTGTTCTCTTCCAAAAAAAAAACAACAAAGGGTGAGATAACAGGGAGAAGTGCGGCAAATAAAGAAAAATGTTTACAGGCCCATGTATTTCTACCTTATTTTCACTAATGTTGCAAAAGTTTTTGCATTGCAGTTAACTACCTTTCCACTGACTGAAGAGCACGTTGCAGGATCAGTCCCAGAGAGAACATGAGGGACAGGACACATCTGGGTCTTGGATTGATTCAGTAACAGAGCACTGCACTTGCATTTTCACAGACTCCGGCCTGTATGTTCATTTGCTATTGCAGAACCCAGTTAATTAAAAAAGAAGTCTGTTAGATATGCTGCATGTATCACTTTGTATAAATGGAAGGGTCCTGTTTACCTTAGCAGCAGCTTGTTTTAGGAAAAGTGTCAGGTGTAAAGTTCAAGCACAAGCAGAAAAAATGGCTTTGCAGTTATATAGTACATCACACTGTGAATTTCAACACTTTTTACTGGTATGGGATATCAGGCTTACTCCGTCCAGTTTTGCTCCTGCTCACATGGAGATAGGCTTCTTCCTGAGTGTAGTATGAGCAGACTGAGGTCATTACTGACATTTTTGAGGGTCTGACTCTGCTCAGGTACAAACAGAAGGACAAGTGTAAGCATGCAGTTACCAAAGGCTCAGAAACTTCATGGCAAAACAGCTGAAACTGCATCTTCCTAAATGCTGAAATCAACTGTGCTTTATTCTTCTAGTCTGCAAACTGCTTTGTTACTGTTCAAACATCAGTCACTTTTATTTCTCTTCTCGAGATAGCAAACATTTATTTTCTGACAAAGCAAGACACGCTCTGACCTTCAAATGGTACACAACTGATTTTGAATCATTTAGTATTAGGTCAGAGTAGCAGTTTACCATAAACTGTCTGAGGAGCAATTCTGGACAATCTTCATGATAAGTTTTCACTTTGTCCTTTGATTAATTAAATGTGTGTGCTTGATTTTTATATTTTTTTGTTGATGAATTTCAAGATTATTTCTTGTTTTCATTGCAGAGGGAAGTAGAAAAAATTGTTGCAGTTGCATGGAATATCTTTCAACCTTTTCTTTTTGGTTTAATTGGCGCAGAAGTATCTGTAACATCCCTTAGACCTGAAACTGTTGGTAAGATCATTCGCTAGTTATCCAACTTTCATTACTAGCTTCCAAAAAAATCTCTGTGAAGGAATCTAAGTAAAGCAGTATATAGCTGACAAAAAAAAAAAAAAATGTAAAAAGTGAAATCATTGTAAAGCTACAGTTTTAGGAGCCTTATGCTCCTCAGGTACCTTTGCACAGAAATAGTGAGAAGTATGTGTCTTTGTTACAGGGCTCTGTGTTGCTACGTTAAGCATTGCCCTAGTTGTGCGAATCATAGCAACGTTCCTGATGGTGTGTTTTGCTGGGTTTAATTTCAAGGAGAAGGTATTTATCTCGTTGGCATGGATTCCCAAAGCCACTGTCCAGGTAAAACAGTGCATCTTCACTTTCATTCCAGGCTACATCTATTGTCCTTAGCACGGCTCTTCCTAACCAGCACAGCAGTAATCAGGGAGAGGATCAGGCCTCTTAGCAGCAGAGCGTAGTAGAGCAGTTTAGAATACAAACTCTCCACTAAGTCTGCTTGAAAAGGGCGTAGGGGACCTTCCACGTGAGGGTGTTTTGCTTACATTCGAAGTTGTACTAATAATAGTGAATTGTACATACAAATACTTCAACAGGGAAAAACCTTATCTCTGCTATTGCAGATCATTGTACCTTTACGTACAGGTTTTGAGGACTCTCATTTCCCTCTTAAACCACATTCTGTCTGCTGAGACAGTCACACCAAAGGCTCAGATAGGGTTTTCAGTTTGTGGTCACTTTAGTAAGGGGTGGTCTGACAGGCTTATTGCTAGAGAAGCCTCAGGCTGTTTGCATTCCTGCTCAGTGATCAGTCACTAGGGCCTTTGCCTCAATAGCATGATTAGTTGCAAGCAGAAGTTAATAATCAGAACAGGCAAGGATTATTGCAAGATTTGCAAACTAAATATTCAGAAGCTGCTGCTACTAGTTAGCCTGCTGTCAGGACACATTCTCGAGGTGAGGAATTTTAAGAGCTCCAACATGCAATCTGCTGGTCATGCTATCTCCAGAAATGGCATAACATGTCAGCTAAGCTCCTCCACAGGAGGGACCCACCCAGATAAATTCATTAGCTTAGGAAATTCACAGTGTAGCTAACTGAAAATTGTTCTTCTAGGGCTAATAGAGCCCTTACTTTTCTATGTACCAGAAACTAAGGGGTTTGAATATGTTAAAAATTTTGAATTTATGTAAAACGTGGACCCTCATGTTAGATGTGGATTAGACCTTCTTCCCTGTTTCATTGGTAAAGGTTACTTGCTCCATTTCAACAGTGCTTCCTTTCCTACAGGCTGCAATAGGTTCCCTTGCCCTGGATACAGCAAGGAGTCATCAGGATGAGCAACTGGAAAAGTATGGAATGGACGTACTGACAGTAGCTTTCTTGGCTATCTTGATCACTGCTCCAGTTGGAGCCCTGGCCATTGGCTTGGCAGGGCCCAGACTTCTGCAGAAGGCACAGACAAACAACAAGAAAGATGAGGATGGTGCCGAAGCTGGAGAAGAGGCAGAGGCCTGTGAACCTTCGTGAGATGGACATCGACAGGAATATGGTCCTTCAGCACTTACGCTTTTGAGTAAACACATTGTGCCTGTAATCTTTGTGGAGGAAACCAAAACAAGTATTGGTTATATGTGCTATTTCAAAAGCAGCTCTGGTGGAGTTTTATAAAATATGTCAAAGTGTTGATAGTGCCTTAAGAGATGAACCAGCTAAACACATAGGCTGGTGAGGCCGTGAGTCACTCAGAAGTTAGCAGTCAACAGTTACTTGAAACGTGTGGGTGTGAGGCCAGGGAGAGGATCGGAATTGTTCAGGCATGGAGTGGAGTCATGAGGTGGATAAACAGAAGAAAATGGAGACTAACGTGAATAACTTCTTGATGGTTGAAACCGGGCTGTAAGATGACAAGTTCAAGAGCTCAAAGAATGCAACTGTTGAATTAGAGAGGATTGACGCATAGTGAACGAATCCTGCCGTGGGTTGGCGATTCCCTCTCCTTCCTCATCCAGGTCTCAAAACTTGCTGTTTCCCATTGCTGTTCTCCCACACATCGCACACGTTCTTTTGTGTCTGCTTTCGAGGGCCTGGCAGTTCTGGTCTCAGCAAGGAGCAGCAAGCAGTTCTTGTGTGCTGGAGGAGGCAGCTGGGTCCAGGATCCATCAGGGCGGTGGTAATACAGGAGTACCTGGTGCTGGTAGAAAGGGCTGAGCTTGAAAATAGGACGAGAGTTCCAAGGAGGACTGGGAGAGGGTTCTATGGGACCGGGACAGCTGCTGCTTCATGTGTACCTCAGCTCTTGTGCAACACTATGTCAAGCTGAGAGCAGCTGTGTTCTGGCCCTGGCTGCTGTAGGACAGGGTAGAGCTCCCCTAGGATGGGGTTTCTGGCAGGACAAGGCCAAGGTAGCAAGGAGTTGCCCCCTTCTTCCTCAGCTCTCTCTGGTGAACTCAGCAGAGTTCTGTGGCAGACCTCAAACCAGGATTTATGGGTCAGCAGGTATCTCCTGTTACTCTGTCCTAAGTTTTTACTGATTTGGCTGAGAGAATGCTGTGATCTGGTCCTTCTCACATCTGCATTTGGGTAATTGTATAAAAACAAATATTTACCAAAAAAATAACAAGTTAGCTCTCAGTGTTCAAAGAGGTGGATGGCTGGGTTTGCTGTGGAGATCGGAGGTCTCTCAGATTTGCCATGGCATTTCAACCTCTAACTGATACAGAAAAATAATAGACTTGAACAGCCTGGAAAAAGCAGTGCTGAGAGGGATGGTACAAAGTGAAAGAGGCCTCACCACACTTTCCTTCAAATAGGCTGCTATGTGACAGCACTAGCACCCTCATGAGTTCCCAACACACAAGTTGTGTGCAGCTGTGGATGATGGTAATGAGTGGCAGTGCTCATTTTGAATCTCTTGCCAAAATGTTTCACCAGGGAGAACAAAAAGCGAGCTTTGGTGGTGTTCTTTTGGTTTGGTTTTTTGATTTGTTTTCATTTTACTTAATAGATTCCTCCTGCAGAGTCAGTGCAATATAGTTCACATTTGACTTTCCCATATGACTTGTTACACTTTTCTTTCCCCTTGACTGTCCAAAAGCCAGGAATAAACCTCCTTTGTTGGTCAAAACCCTGCACTTGCCTTTAGGTTTGTATCAGCTTGGCTTTGGTACTGCCTGTTAAGAGATATTGGCAAATCTTTGCTACGTTTTGGGTGAGTAACTGGCTCTAAGTAGGTCATTTTCTGCTCCTTTCAGAAACACGGAGTCAGTACAGCATTCCTCAGAATCTAAGTTTTATTTATTTCTTTTTTAAATAAGGATTTTATGCTGTGGTCGTAATCGAGGTGGACAAGGGCTATCTGCAGAGCTCTACGCTGCAGTTCAATTTTACAAGATACTGTACAGAATATCTTTGTGTCCAGAGACTTTCAGCAGTGCGGGGAAGGTGCAGTCCTCAGTTCCCGTTTGTTCCCTCACAGGAGGAAGGTGCTCTCAAACTGCACAGAGTGATGCATGCTTGCAGTGCTGCACTTGGTGCTTGCTGTGTCCACTGACTTCTGTGCCCCTGCTGCCTGCTTTAGGTGGCTGACAGAGGCACTCAGTTACTGAAATAGGGGTGGTTTAGAAGGAGCTAACTGTAATTGGAAGTTGTAATATCTGTAGACTTAATTGATACTGTGAGGGAATAATCTGTTTGGTTCATCAGTGACTATCGCATAATAATGCTACATGAGTAAAGTTCACAAGGGGAAGCTGTATATGGTTCATTTTTTTGATCTAGTTTTATACAAATTAGAACCCTCTTTCAGGGAGGCATCATTATGCCACATTTGGAGTCTGTTCAGTAAACAGAAGTGTAAACAATTGAAGTCTTTTAAATGTGAACACGACCCTAAACGTGCAAGCAAACCTCTGACACACAGTTGTTCATGATGGCCTCTAATACTTGCTTACTATCATAACAGCATCTCATAAATTGGATTTATCGTGTTCCCTTAACCTCTGTGCACTCTCAATTTATTCGTCAAGATCACTCCCCCCACTGCTCTGAGACCTTGAATAGCTGTACCAATGGAAGTGTTTTTGTCTTCTAATCCAAACTCAATTTTCCTTTCCTCACCACCATGCGTGGCTGTTACAAGACCCGTTTCCCTCGACCTTTATTAAATCTTGAATCCGACTGCAGCTCTTAACATAGTCCTGCAGATCTAATATGAAGAACATTAATGCTATATAATGCTCCTCTCCTTGTCTTCTGGACAGGAACAAAACACTTGTCTTCTCGTGAGAAGAAACATAACATTAGGGCTGAGACTGACAATTTCAGTTCATTTTAAATAGCTGTTAATTTAAAGAGATACGATTTCACTTTATATCTGAGTTTGCATGGGTAAAGCCACAAGGCCACCTTCCTTTGAACAAAACACCATGAAATCATTCTTGAATAATGCATAAATTCAAGCCAGTAAAATCTTTGTGCCGTGCCAAGCATTCTCTTACTTGGAGGAAATAAAATCAGGAGGCAAGCTGCAGTAACCTATAGCCAACGGAGCCCGGCTGCCATGCAGACACAATCACAGGGTCACGTGGAGGAGTACTGAGCACTGCGTGCATGTGCAGCACCAGAAGGTTGAGGAGAGCCTCTGCAGCAGAACAGTCTGACGGCACAGCGTGGTCCTGGCAGCATGCGGCAGGCACTTACAGCAGGCAGCATATGGGAAAAGACAGAAATGGGCCATCTGGACACAGGAAATCACACAAGCTGGGGATGCAATGATAGTGTAATTATAATCACTGTTTTCTCTCTCTTTTACAGCCAAACCGCACATTCTAGAGAACTTGGATGAAGTCTAAAATTAATTGTGAAACACTCAGGGTGTAATATGGCCGCAAAACGGTGAACGGTAGTTCTTGCATTTTGCTTTTTAAATACAGAGTGCAAGAGATGAAATTCAGTGCCAGATGCATTTCACATTTACTTTGTCTAATAGGCAACCCAGGTCAGACACCCTTCTCTAAATTTATCCATTTACATGTTTCATTGGAGTTCATTACAACAAGTCTTCAAAATCGTAGTCAAAAGAAAGGTAGGTACCAGCGTTCGAGTTGCGTGCAGAAGGCATGTTGCAGCATGCCATGTCTGCCTTTTCTGGCTTTTGCTTTTTCCTGACTGAAGAGCTTGGTCTGCTGCCTGAGTCCTGGTCTTTCTTAGAACTGGGCAAATTTATCCCTTTGTGTAGAGCTTCCAGATGAGGGCAGAAAAGTCACCCAGTGCCAAGATGCGGCCAAATATATTCTAGCAGGTAATTGGTTCAACTCTGTCAACCGAGATAAAGGGTTCTGCTGACACTTCAGTTCTTAGCTAACCCCACGGACCTCATGAAGATAATTTGAACAGATAAGTAAACCGTGGTGGGTTTTTTTGGAGGGGGAGAAGGAGGGGTGTCTGCTTAAATGGACAGACTTGCACTTTGAGCGCAAGTTAACTGTTAAAGGAGTCAGCAGTGACTTTTTTTTCTTACTTTGGCATCTGTCTTTCCAAGGACATCATTTTAACTTCAGAGGGAAAACTCCTGCATGTGGCTTGCAGATGAAGAATCCAAGCTGCAAGCAGCACAGGATCAGATAAGACAGTCCTATCCAGTGCTGTGAACTTAGCGGTCCAAGCAAATTTCATTTATTTGGCGAGAGCTGTTGGTACAGACAACAACCTTCCAAGGACTCCTGAAAGCAAAGAGGATGAGTGACTCTGGTAGCTGCTGGTGATAGACTCTCCTGATTCCCCTTCATCCTGGGAAGTGTTTTGCTGCCCTTCTCAGCACTGATGAGAACATTAATGCATTGCACAGCAATTTTCACAAGGCAGGTAGGCGAAAACTGAACTCTTACTTTGATAACCAAAGCAGCAGCAGAAATCTTGGTTTGGATTTTCTACAGCAAAAATACCATAGCCAGTGTTGTTAAGTTCTTGTTTATTTCAGTTGTATAGCTGTACTTTTGCAGGTGGTACTTGCAGAAGATGAAATTATATTTTCTGGTAGGGATATTAAACCTACAAGTATGTACAATCCATGTATGTTAGGGCTCCTCACTGCACCTAACATAGGCCTGCTTCAACACTGCATGAGGGAGGATGGGTGCCTCCTTCACTTTCCTTTTAACTGAGGCCATGAGAGATAGTATTCCCTTCACAGACTTTGAAATACAAGGAAATGGTCGTCTATCTTCCTTATGACCTTAATTTTAGTATCATGTAGAAATTATTAAAATGTCCTTTCTAAAAAGGAGCTGTGAGTGCTGCTAGTGCAGTTCCAAATATGCTCCGTTCCCTTATAAACATGAGCAGAAACAAGTGAAAAACTACTTGTTTTGTAGCCGTAGTTGTATATAGTTTAGCAGCAGTCATCTCTAATAGCGAGCAGGAAGAAAAAAACATTACATAATCAAACTGTCCTAGAGCTAGAGTCGAGAGGCCAAGCTTTACACTGTCGTTCTTCTTTTGGAATAGCACTGTGGGAGAAACAAAGCCACTTTTGCTGTACTACGTACACTGACAGTAGCCGAGTGGAACAATGGAAGTGAGAACAGGATGATGTACAGAGCTTACTTCTCAAACTTAGGGAAAAATCAAATTACCTGAATGCAGAAATATCCTGATAAAAGCTAGAAGTGCACACGGTTGTATATAATAACTGACTGCTGCACTAGGCTGTGCATTGAAAAGCATTGTCTAAACATGTTTTTGTATTTCATCTAGCAATTTCTCCACTAAACCCGAGTAATGGTCTCAGTGTTTATTATACATTATCTAGAATGGCAAACACTACAATACAAGACAATATCATGATGGATCGTCCTCTGTTATAAGTGTTATATCCTAATGGGGTAGTGGTTACAGGTTGCTTTCATCTATTAAGATAAGATTCCCGTGAAGCATTTCAACAAAGCTAGATTGTCCCACAGTTCTGTTCCACGCTGTGCAAAAGCAGTCAGGTAACCCACAGTCACATCCTAATCTGCCACGTTTTGCTGCAAGGCAAGAGCTTTAGGTACCGAGACCTACAAGGGTTACAAATGCAGTGATTACTTTAGTTCTGCTGCTGCTGTGACAGCCCTGGTGTGAGAACGGCTTCCTGACTTGTACTTGTTCCAGCACTGGTGATAAGCTTTGGCAGTAGCATGGTGCTCTGGGGCTTCCCACCTACCAACAAGCCAAACAAAATGCTTGTTAAGGAACAGTCAAAACTTCCCTTGCATTTGTGCCACAATTTTACACAACTGTCTAACTTGTACTTCTAAGCAGACCAATAGCTTTTCATTGAATAAAGCACTTTAGAAGAATTAATATGGAGCCTAGCAGTTAAATAAGTAGCATGTAGTTAGTTACCTGCATCTGAAATTAAGCCCTACCACAGCAAAGTTCTGACTTGCCCTAATAACCATTCTGAATCAGTAACAAGCCAAGAATACAGTTCACCTCCCCTTTGGTGGTTCTGTCATTTAACCAGCTCCACCCAGAAAAGTCCCCACTACAAGTAGCAGCATCTGCAGCGCGTATGAACTTTGCAAGGAGCAAATCTGTTTCCTCACAAGAGCACGAATGACAAATGGGAGCTCAGCATAAAGGGGCAATGTTACTGGCTGACCTGTTCCCTTGGAAATAGTGACATTTTTGCAGCTACGTGTTCGTACAAACAAGGCTTAGGTGTAGGAAGTCATTTTATTGGTGAAATAAACGACTTATTTACAGAGACAGTTACTTTACAGCTTTACAAAGCAGACAGTTCTTCTCAGAATAAAATATCAAACAGTGACAGATTTAGCACTGTCTAAACGCAGTTTATCCCAAAAAGAAATCTACAGCCATCATTAGACTAAATCATACCAATCACATAATAAAATGCTGCCCCTTGCAACTACAACAGTATAAAAGACTTCTCAGTCATGATCTACTGGATTAAGCATTCGCTATACTTCTTTCTTCTTGAGTATTAGTGGACCTACGTTATCTCCTGTTAGTTCATTGTGCTTGTTATGCGAGCCATCACAGACAGGGAACTGGAAGAAAACAAACGAGAAATTAGTACACCTCTGTACAGCAATTGCTGCTAGTTTCTCCGTTCCTCCTCCATTGCCCCATTTCAACATCAAACTCCCTGTTACCCTATCAGGCCCATTACTAAAAACACACACACACATTGTTAACAGGTAGCTAAGTTTATGAGGTCCTAAAATAGCTGTTCATAAGCACAAAGTTAGAGATGAAGCCTTCACCATGAAGGAACAGGGACCAAAGCAGCCACTAGTGGCTTAAGGTTTATTGCGGAGCCAGTAAAAGTGCTCTCAACAGCTCATTTTCAGCCAGTATATTTTTCTGAAGTGATTCTTCTGAACGAGAAGTACTTGAGAGAGTTTTCTAGGTCCCAGGCATAGTTTTTAGCTAAAACAGGAAAGCATTCAGTCTAGAGAGGCCAACAGTGACGTCAGGACTGTCGCAAGAAGGAGATGAGAATCACCTATCTTCTTCTGTTTGATGCAGGGGACACGGACCATCCAAAGCAGTCACCTAGTGGTTGCTCTGGACCAGGTGGGGATATGCTTTCCCTCAACAGACGCCCCACTCTACTTTCATTCTAATATGAACAAATTTCGAAGTATTGTTTTTCCATCAGAGAACAGAATCGTAGTTTTTTTCCAACCTTAATGATTCTAACTGATCTTCTAATTAGTTGGAATATATTTGCAAACCTTAAGGTTTGCTTTGTTTTAATCTAAATCACAGATGGTCACTATTTCTAGGAAAAACCCTAGTGTGTGGTGTTTTTTTTATTACAGATTTCAACAGTTGCTCTCTGCATGTAGCTAGGTTTACAGTAGAGAAAAGTAAGAACGGTGCCATTCTCTGAAACCAGGATGCTATTCCACCTCCCAAGAAAAGCAAGAGGTCACCTTGTTGCAACTCACTACCACAGAACTGATAAAAATATGCAAGTTTCAACCTCAAATCCTACAGTAGCACAAAGTACCTTACCGTCTTTGAACGCCAACACCTGCAGTAAGCTTTAGTGAGACACAGATCTTCGATATTTATTTCGTTCACTACTTTTGGGTTTTCCTTCTGGATCTTGAGGTTAATCAAGCTATCCTTTTGCTGTTTCTTCTTGTGAAGGAACGGACGAACAGCGAGGTAACCCAGCAAGGCCAGCACGCCCAGGAAAGGCAATAACCGCAGCCATTCTGAAACTGAAGACAGGTGGAACTCAGACTGGCTCTTGACACCACTTCAGTCTGGTGCAGCGTCAGCTATTCTCACATGATTTAGGCTTAGGGTAGGGAACAGGACTGCACAGTCAGCAAGGCTCTGAGGGCAGGTGAGACTTTGTGGGTAAGTCATAAGACGAAAGAAGTCCCAGATTAAAATCTGGGTTTTACTGTAGCTAAGGCACAAACTGGACTCCTGGAATTTCATCTGAAGTTTACTTTTTAACACACTAGAAAATGACTTGATGGAAAAAAAATAAGACAAGTAAAAGGTGTACTGAAATGAGGAACTAAAGTTACAGAGGTTCTGCTCACCAAACATAAAACACCACCAAGTACTAGCAAACAGGGCATGATTACACGTGGGAAGTTAGTAAAAATTCACTGTGGTTCAGTGTCGGTATCTTACATTCTGTATATGAAGAACTACTCAATATGCTTTATAATTAATTTTTTAATTGCTCATTTCAGAGTTTTATTCTTTTCCTCATTTGCTTTGTTCCAAGTTGTGTTTAGGAACTTTTGGCAGATCTAATGCCTATCCTCAAATAAGCATTAACAAAACCTTTCCCTTTTTTTATTTTTATTTTTCAGAGCTCTGTTTGCTCAGGGACCCACAACAATTTTCTACAATGCACATAGCCAGTGTCAGGACTCCTTCTCTAGGTACCTCTACATAAGTCAAGCCCCAGGAAACTGCTTTTTACCAACCTGAGACAGTTTATTTTAAGTACAGGTAAGACATATTAGTACAAAAAAGACTTACTTGAACTTTGAGAGAAATTCAGCACCTGGTAAAAGATGTACTTTAAAGGCTGATACGCTTTTCCAACAAAACAAGCTGTGACAATACTTCGGTGTAATTTAACAATGTATGTAGCAATAGAGAGAGGTGCTTTGGTTTTAATTTCTGGAGAATACAGTTAAATCTGAGTAGTCATAAAGAAATAGAAGGATGTTCAAAACATTTTAAATTGAGAAACAAAGAACTTGAATGAGCTGGAGCACAATTTCACAAGCACTTTGTAAGAGAAAACAATAATCAAATTCCTCTTTTAAATGATTTAGGATCAGAACATATCAAAATTTTGTTCTACAATTTGAAAGCAGTAGAACAGGCTGAGGATGCTAGGTAGACTGTGAGCTCTCAGAAATCACATTACTTTGTGAGGCTTAATTTTATTTGTAACAATAAAGAGCTTGCTCATGCTAATACTTTTCCCGTTAGAATGCAGTATTTCTTAATAATTTGAAGGTTCTGGAAGTACACCACGTAACAAAAATACTTTGCAGGAATAGCTTTATGTTCTCTGGGCTTTCTATTTCCTTTGGTGTGAAAACCATGCTTACTGCGTTTATCTGGAAATGCGCCACAACTGAATAAATGATTAAGATGCTGCAAGAACCTTCAGTGCTGTCTTTCCATGCCTGCATTTGCAGTGGTTCCTTTGCACAACAATTTTTGACAGTATTTTGTAGGAGTCACCACAACAGACTGGTCTCTGTTCCCTCAAGCAGCTGTGGGCCCTAATTAATAATTAACTGAAAACATTTAAGTATCTCAGTGCTACTCAAAACATCGGGCTTCCTGGACAGCAGTAACTGTTTGTCTTTTCTATCATTACCATAAATAACAGTAAGACAAAATATTTAAGCAGTTTTACTCTCCCTCAATAAGAGGGAGAACACGCTCATTAAAAATGAAAGTTTCCTGAATATTCCAGTAGAGAGAAGCATTAAGTTCTGGACAGACAGAGTGGTCCCCCCAAAGACTGACCATTTAGTTCTCACAGACACCTTTCCCTGTCACCAGTCTGAAAAGACAGAGGACAGAATAACGACAGGAGCCACCAAGGCAAACCTGTCACAGAGTGTCCTGAGGAAAGAGGTCTGGACAGCCAGCTAACTAGGCAGCCCCTCCTGGCCATACATGGCCAAACCCCACTTTAGAAGCTGCTGGCATAGTGTCATTTACTCTTTGAGTCACCACTATTAGGAAGGACTTAACATCTCAAACTTTCACAAGATGGTGGTAACTCTGGTGGGACTATGAAGCTAAGAGGTAAATGATACCAATCACAAACACAAACTAAGCCATGTTCCAGCCTTATCATTCATACAGCAAAAATGGTATCACGAGTAGCATCAGTTGAGATGCACTGTTACAGAACAGCCCATCAACAGCCATCTGAACGTGCTTTCTGATTTTATATGAAGGGCTGACTTAAAACATGCTTTGGAAGAGAGGGAAAAAGCTTTGGTCACTGAAAAAAAATTAATCAAATTCAACATTTAACTTGACTGTTGGCAAAGAGCTGCCTATCTACAAAGCTACACTGAACTCCAAGACAGAATAGGCATCCCAACAGCTGCACCATAAAGAGAAGCAGGATGCCTATTGAATGGTAGGAATCCCACTGGACTAAAAGTGACACACAAAAAAGAGCAGTCTGGCCAGAATTAAATGTTAGTAAGAGACCAGCAACTGAACAGCAAGTGGCATCTCAGTACAGCCTGAAACTCCCTGATAGGACTCTGAGGTCAGAACACTCACTGGGCCACCAGTCGTGTCTGTGGGAGGCTCCTAACCAGCTGGGTTCATCCGAGTGAAAGAGGAACATGACAGCTGTAACCTCTTAGAAAGGAAACTAGAAACAGACAGGAATAGGAAGTACAGGGATATTATTTATCATGGGTATTATTTCCCATCTCTACGGTGCTAAGTGCTGATAAAGAGTTTTCTCCTCAGCTACCAATGATTTATTGAGATAACACTACTCTGGGGGTCTCTGGAAAGCCCCAGGTTATACCAACTTGTATGTTAATCGTAAATTGACTTTATTGTCAACAAGACTGCTACAGGCTCATACTTTTAGACTGAAAAAAACAACGTGACCATGTTTCTAGGGCATGAGAAACAAGATACTGTCACAAATTAAAAAGTCCCAGACCTTTGGACTGGGAGGGGTAGGGGACCAGGGGAGCATTCACCCAAATTAATGCAAAGGTATCTTCCTACAACCGCAAGCTGCTGGGTGGTTTTGAAGCCAGTCATACCTTTCTGAAGCAGATGTAAGGCAATTCACAAAATTCTGTTTATTTTCACAGCTGATACTCAACTACATTGATTCTGGAGATTCTTTATCAGCTCTGCTGCTTGGGAAGAGGCAGTCTTTGGAGCCAGAAATGGAGAGCAGAGGATCGAAGAGGTTAGTCTTCAAACTTGACTTGTATTAAGATAGAGACCAATCCCAAAGATAAGTCCTGGAAAGCATCAGGAACATCACTGAAACAGGAGTGCCCAGAGAACTGCAAGAAGCTGAGACCATGGACCACAGGCCATGGCATTAAGTTTTTGAGAAAAGGTTTTTCTTAACTTTTAGTCCAACAGTAACAAGTCCAAAAATAAGAAACACAAACATTGTGAGCAGAACAGGACCGACCAGCCACTGAGAGTCAAATCAAAGCCAGTGTTTACTGCCTGGATGTCTTTCACCAGCCCTTCTTGATCTTTCACTTTGATTTCATGTTTTAGCTCATTTACGCGGAAATGACCCTGTGCAGACTCAAAAGCAGTTTCTGAAGATGATAACTCAACCGCAAGCCAAAGTTTTAACAAGTATTAGCTACCAGTCAAAATGAATATTGGAACCGTGGTTGTCTTCTCTCTGAACAGCCACAATTCTTCATGCAGGCTCAAAATATCGACCCAACTATTTTCTCTTCAGAACTAATAGCTGTTCTGGCCTGTTTTCTGTTTGTTTGCTTGATCATTTATTGATGTTGTCATTGCTAAACAAACTAAAATCAAAGGACTCTGCACACCACTTCAGTGTTAGCTTATTCAGCAGGTGGGGAGGTGGAGAGGTGACTGTCCTTTTAACAGCACAGCGCACTAAATAATAAAGTAGAAAGCCAAAGCAAGGGTAGGTTAGCAAGCTAGTCTGCAAACGAGAAATTCATTGTTCATGACCAGAGAGTATGCAGAGCTTATCTGATGTCAGCCCTCCTTCTTTCCGCCAGCAACAGATGACCCACAAAACTGTCCTCTTTCTGCCTGGCAGCTTGTCACACTCAAGTCCCTCTTAACATGTATGCCAGGTGCATGACAGCCCACACAGGAACACATCATGTTTATAGAAAGGAGACTGGCACCTAGAGAGACCTTGAAATTCCCTTTTCTCACTCCTGATCACATGTTATTCTGAGGTTAATTGCTGTTCCAGTTTAATGAAACTTACCAGGACAGAAAGCAAAGCCAGCAGACGGCAACACTGATCGTTTTAGTGAACTTGAGAAGGGAAGGGTAAAGCAGCTATGACAAGGAACTGAAAGAGGCTTCTGAGCAGCAGCAGTGCGATAATTCAGCTATCCATTTTCAAACCCAAGGTCAAACACATTCGTTCCCTCCTCCCTCCTTGCTTTTACCTTCAGGAGTTCTGCACTGGACATTAAAAGCCTTCCTCTCTCCAAGCAAGCAGTTTTCCACTGTGGTCAGGCGAGATCATAACAAACAGCAGGTGTCTCAAGGTCTATGATCAGCACACCTTAACAATACCCTACAGGAAAGGTTCTTCCCTGTGCTTTTGGTCTGGTGTTTCTGCAACTGATGCACCACAGGAACTGGAGCTGCATCTGCCTGGAAGCTACCAAAGGTTTATAGAAGCAATAAAAGCACTAACAAGCAAAGCACTGCACCATTCCCAATTTCAGTTCTGGCCCGACTTTGTGAACAAAGTCAACGCCAGCAAGTGCTTTGTAGGGCTGGTCCCTGAGTTCAGCAGATGCCAAAGGACAAATACTAACACATTTAAATGATTGAAGATCAATATTATTTCTGACCTTCCAAAACAAAGCAAGGAAAATGCTTGATGTATTATTTGCCAAAGAATATGATGCCCTAAAACTTCTAGTAGTAGTAGTAAACACAGAAGGAAATTTAAATCTAATCTTCACTATTGTTTAAGAGTCATTCACTGATGTTATTCAATTAAAGGTACTTATAATTACCATTTTCCTTCCAGTTTTTAAGTTGCATTATACTCATTCAACAGTCCTGGAAATTTGATTTTAAAGCTAGAAACCGTATCTGTTTTATGAAATGGTGAATTACTATTCAACAACGTAAAATACAGCCCCTTACAGTAGGGTTGGTGCTACCACTACCCTGTTATCAGGGGTACCTTTAAGTCACTGCTACAAAACAACTCCCAGAATCCCCTACCTTTACAGGTCTACAACTTCAGGATGGGGCACGCTCAGAACACAACAACACAGAAGAGGAGATGCTTGCGGAAGCACACTTATTAGACAAAACTTGAGACTGACAGCAGCTCTGGGTGCAGGTAAGTACAGAAATCTTTCATGAGCAGTGAGGTTTCAGTGAATTTCAATAACTTTTAATAGCATTAAGATAGGATCATTTTAAGTTTATGTGCCTAGGGTGTAACATCCCAGCATTTTCTGTTGAAAAGCTTCAGTCTGTTGCATCTACCCTATGTCTTATTAAGCATCTTGTAAAATTTTGCTGTTTTTTCTCCTATTTTCATTCATTTTCACTTCAGATGAAGATATCTAAGCAGGACATCAGATATTATTCTAGCTGATTGCTGAAAAAATGAAGTGTGTCAAAACATTGTCTCCATAGTTATGTATTTTTAATTATCCCTCTGTTTCAACTTTTCAGTGTTTAACATGAAACCAGTCAAAGAAATCACTAATAATTAGAGGTAATGCCTTTTTTTCAGCTATGCCCGCTGAATTTTTAAAAGGTCTCAAAGCAATTTCCCACTCTGTTCCTTCTTTTACCTATGTTTCATGTTTTGGGGACTGACATTTCATACGTTTGGTCTTCCCTTGAGGGTTTCTGTTGCTTACTTATTCCCCTCCCTCCAAATTCAAGCAAGTATTTGTTAAGGGGGTTAACAACATGACAGTAAAACACTTCTATTAAAAAAAAAAAGAAAAAAGAGAGTTCTGACCAGAGGTTTTCAGAATAAGTTCAATTACTTCACTGTGCAGTATGAACACATACAGAGGCTGCACAATAATCCTGTAACAGAAATGTATGTCTGGAAACGTGAAGCAAGATAGTAAGCTCAGGTATTATTCAGCTTAAGAAACTTGAAGCACCACTCGTGGTTAAAAAGACAAAGACTTAATTAGGAAACTTTCAAAAGCCGGGGTAGGAGAAGCTGCTTTGTTCTGAATCTCATTATATCCCCTCCTCCAACTTTATAGCAGCTAAGCTTCTCTTTTGGTCAATATAATTAGCAGCACTTTCAGATGAAAGAGTAGTTATGGGGATGGAAGGACAGGTTTCCTTGTCCTGAGAAAGATAATGGGGCTTCTAAGTTTACAAGGAGCATGCACACTGTAAAAAGTACTCAGAACTAGTTTTAAATGAACCCATTTCCCAGCACTGCTGAAGTCATACAGCTTGGTGCTGCAAGAAAAACACATGGGCTTGATCCTACACTTTGAAGATGTCTTCAGCTTCCAGCCAGCTCCTGTTAGAATATTCCTCTTGTTTAGTATCGCCAAACTAATCTTGTTATTCCAGCTATGTGAGGCTCTGCCTGCAGTACCGTGCCAGAGCCTGAGCTCGCACAGTTCCAGTTTGCAAAGCACTGAGATGCCCTGAGCACACAAGGATTTAATGTAGAGTTTTCTTTCTTGTTCGCTCTGGGATAAGGCTATGACTAACAGATGTCATTTTTTCCTGGGCGAGGGAGGAAAAATATCCAAGGCTTATATAAAAAAAAAAATATAGAAAGACATTTTTTAAAAAAAAGCTTCATTTCACTTCCAAGCCGGACTCCCACACGGAGCCCTCTCCAGCTGCGCCCGTTAGCTCTGCACAGCGGCTACCTTGGGGCTCGGGCCTGCAGCCAAACCCCACGTCCTGCCCTGACGGGACCCCCGCTCGCCCAGCCGGACAGGTGAGGCCGAGCAGCCCCCTTTCCCCACCCCCCTCACCTCACCTCCCCTCACCTCACGGGGCTTCACCGGGCGCTTTAACGGCGGCCGAGCACCGGCTCCCAGCCCTCTCCTCCCCCCCGGGGGACAGCCGAGGAGTTACGGGAAGGCCCCGGGGCCGCCTACCTGTGAGGCGGAGGAAGCCGCCGACGCTCTCGGGCAGCGGCAGCCGCTTGAGGTAGGCGGGCAGCTGCACCTTGACGATGCGGGCCAGGCTCTCCAGCACCATGGCGCCCGTTAGAGGGGGGGGGGAGGAAGGCAACGGCCGCCAACCGTCGCCGCTGCTGCCGCGCATGCGCCGCCGGGCGGGGCCCCCTCAGGCTTGCGCCGCGCGGGGGCGCTGCAGCCGCCGGGGGGCGCGCGGGCGGCGCCGGCCATTAGGGAGGGGGGCGCGGCGCTGAGGGGATGGGGGCGTGTGGTTGCGCCTCCGAGCGCCGCGTACGATTTTCGCTAATTTTAGGGCACGGGGAGCAGTGTGTTGGGGGTAAAAATTGGGCAGTGGGAAGGTGGAGCCCGGTTCGCAGAGATCCGGGGCAATGTTAATCAAAATGCGTTGTTTTAAGATTAAAATGGCCATGAGGAACTGAGGCAGAAACTAAATGCTCGAAGCCAGGCTTAAGGCAAACAAACGCAGTTTGTCTGTGCTTCTGGCCTGAATGTTGCTTTCCTACCTGTGAGCCTACGTTAACTGTTGCTGATGAATCATCTTTAGCTAGTGAGAATATTCCTGTGATCTCCGAGAGTCTCAGCTCCCCGCCTCACCCAAGTTTAGGCTGGTGATGACTGTGTCTGATGTTCTGAGAGGGTTCCTCCTTATGCAGGCAAATGCCTGCTCTTTGACGAGATAATGAAAGAGCAAAACGTTTGATTATTCTGCAAAGATTGCAGATCGGACCCGTCATGACGTAACCTTGTTTGTGAAACTCTGGAGGAAGAATACGCGAGGCTGAAGGTGCATCAAGTAAATCCTTCAGCTGTGAATCAAACAGCTTCACGCCCCCCTGTCCTTCCCTCCCTCCATCCTTTCCTCTGCTCTTTCAGCCTCCTCCGGATGCTCGCTATGGCCCGGGGAGCACAGCTGACATTTCACCAAGCCCTGCTTTGATCTGTGCCCCACTCAGCACCGCTCGACGCTCTGCACATGCTGCAGAGAGGAGCCGCTCGCGCCGCGCCTCGCCTGTCTGCATGGGCATCACCTGACGTGAGGCGTGAGTAGTTTTGGTGTATGAAGGGGTGATGTCACTGCTTGTGGAAAAACTATAAAGAAAGTGAAGCCTGAATGAGATTCTGAGCTGGAGGGGAGGCAAAAGATGGGCTTTGGGCATCCGGTGTGAGCTGGGGCTCGGGAGATCTGTGTTTGCTCTCCAGCTTGGCCGCAAACTTCCTGTTTGACTTAAGGGGGAAAATGTAAGCTGCAGGCTCGCTCAGTCCTGCAGAAAAGAAGAGGGTTGTACGCAGTTGTCCATCTTTAGGGACCTAGTTACAGGGGAAGGACTTACGATTGGTTAATATCAAGAGCATGTGTGACATCTACTTTCTGCTACAGACATTTAACCCCCTGTGTGGACATATATATGGACACAACTCCATATCTCTTTGTGTCTCAAATCTCAGTGCTGCTGGGTATCTGGAAACTCTTGTAGCATTTTGTGAAGAATGGCAGGGTCATTTGTTGTTGCATATTTAGCTTTGGTTTCTGAATGTTTAAAGTAGAGATCGCCTCTGCCTATGTGTTTCATACTGAACATGGCCACTGAAAATCTGGTATTGGGCAGGGAATATAGGAGCTGCTGTAATAAAAGCAGCACAAAAAGCCCAAGCACAGCTACTGGAACAGAACCTAGGTCACCAATACTGAAATATAATTGTTGCTTTCAGCTGTAGGTATCCTCTATCACTAAGATTTTTCAGCAACTAAGTACATTACAGACAAGGTGCAGCTTGGAGGCCACGTGAGTAGGTCTACATCATTAGTGCTAGCTCAGGTCTGTTACAAGGAGCTCCCCAAATACAACTCAAAAGAGAATCGGCAAGAGGACTTGCTCCTGTACATGCTTCGGTGAAAACAGTGGAAAAGTTCATGGCAGAGGTGCAGATCATGTTTGGTGGGGCTTGTTCTGTTAAGTGCAATGTTACTGAAACATAGCTGCATTGGTCCAGCTCCCAGTAGAAGTAAGAGTCGCCTTCAGCATCCAAATGCTGGTCAGCCCTGCTCCATCTGAAGCAGGTGAAAAGAAGCTGCTGGTGTTCCTCCTCTCTAACCCTGCATAAATTGCTTAATGCCCCTGCGCCTTTAATTCAGCTGCAGAATGAGATAATGCTTGCTGGTCTGTCTAGAACACATTAAGATTTGCAAAGGAAAAGAACATTTATAGATGATATTGATGTATTTTATTTTACCAAGTACATACCTGTAAGGATAAAAGATGAAAGATTCCGAGGTAGCAGACACACAATCCTTCCATCTCCAAAACAAGCCTAAGTAGCGCAGTAATTTGCTCAGCTTTCTTTCATGTTTATGAGCTTTTCTATCAACAGGATGTCTTGTGTTGTTAAAACCATTTTCTTGGAATTGGCATTGCCATTATCCATACCGAGTGCCTCGAATAATCTCCGCAGCAGGCAAAACTACTGTTGTCAACTAAAAACTAGCCTGTCGCCAAAGGGCTGGCTTCTGGCATCAGCAAATGCATGGCTCTATCTAGGAGGAAGCTAGATCTCTCCCTTTGTATTTGAATCATTTCACAATGGGGGTTGATTAGCTGCCGTTCCTGCTGTTTGTAAAGATCTCTTATTCTTCTGCTTCCCCAAAATCAAGCAAAATCATGACACCCCAGAAGGGCTGCAGGAACTGTGATTCATTTCATGTGGTCTCCGTCAGTATGCAGCACTGTCAACACCCGAGTATTAAAAAAACGAGTCTCAAAGAATAAGTAAACTGGCTTCAAACACATAATCCGTAAGACCATATGTATATATAAGGTTACTTTCCTGCTTTATGAACGTTGTGAGTGAGTTGCAGTTGTGTTGCAGCCAAGTTAGGTTTTCATTTGTTATTTTTACATCCAGAGGCTTAATTGCTGTTAGAAGAAAACTGAGACTGTCGTGCTTTCACTTGACTCTCTGAACTGGCACTGGAAGTGGCTTCTGCTGGAGCTTGTGGAAAATATCTGCTCCTCTGCAGTGTGCACCATGCTCGAGAGGAAAATGGGTAGAGAAAATAAATCACTTATAAACGAATCAGGAGGGTAATTTTGGGATAGCATAATTATCATATTATAAAATTATACTAAATTATTTTACAATCAATGGGGGATGAAAGGAGAAATCCAGACCGAAAGAAGTTAGCCTGCTATTACTTTTTAATCTAGCTAATGTCTAAGCATTTTACAATGTAACTATTATGTTTTGAAAGCAGGTGCTATTGTAATTGCCTAAGTAGCTGCAGTGTCCTACCGCAGCATGTATTATTGTTGCATTTTTAAATGTCCCTGTGGCTCAGAATGCTGTTTATTGTCATGGGTTGTAGAGCACTAATTTCCGACAAGAATGAAAACAGGAATGTAAAGAAGGATGGCAAGATTTCTAAGAATTGTATCAAACTCCAAAATGCTACTTTGTGCAAGAAAGACCAGAGCCTATGTGCAATTGTACCTAAGAAATAATCAGTCTTTGATCTCTCAGCCACAGGTTTAACATTTTAATTTCTTCTTCTGACTGCTGTTGCTGGGGAGTGTCTTGGGGAAGTGCTATGCATAAATTATAGTTGAGGATATGAAACGAAGCTGAAGAAAATCCCAACCCAAGAAGGAATAGGTGTCTTCAGTGTTGATTTCCTAGATATCCCCAGATAAAGAACAGTTTGTCTCTTTTTACATCGTTAGATTTTTACAAGCCAGGACTGTCTTTTTTGCAATGGTTAGCATTGGTCCACAACAGTGGCTTTCACAGTCAGTAGAATATTTGCAAAAATAACGCAGGATAAAACTATCCAAGTGCTATGTTACTGATCCCTGTTGCCTTTAAATAAAGCTGAGGAAGTAACTGAAGTTGTATGACGTGATACTATTGCAGGTAGCATCAGTGAAGTAGTGCTGATGATGCACATTACATATAACATTGCAACAAGTTTTAAACTTTGATCCAATCTTTCCATCCTCATTAGTAAGCTGATCCAATACGTAACACCTCATGAGGATCCAGACTGACCCCTGGTCACATAAAGAATTGCACAGGTTTGGAACTTTATTGGCTTCCAGAGAGTTGCTAATTCAAATTTTTACTCGTATCAGAACAAGTATCTTTAGGATACCCTAATAACTTCAAAAACAAAGACCAGATAGGTTACTGATTTGTGGCAGGTTCTGCCTGGTTTGTTGCAACAAAACAGACTACAAAATCCCCAGACTGTCCCCTGGGAGGAAGCTGCAGTGATGAAAAACAGATACCTCCTCCCCTGCGCTGAAGGACCGACAGAGGACAAAGCCGACATCAGCGGCACACTACTACACGGACAGCTGTAACACCACCAACAACAAATCCAACCAGCTCTCTCAGCATGGGAATGCCAGGGAAAAGAAGCACCGTGTGTCCGTGCGTTCTCAGCAGGGAACCGACTGCACACTATTCCCCTTTGAACTGCATTGATCTCTGATGTCAGGGAAGACTGTATCCTTGACCAGACAGCTAAGGCTGTCTTTGTCCCCTGAGTACTTTACTCCCTGGTGTAATAGCTGTCACTGAAAGATATTTCCTTCATTTTAGAAGGCAAAGGTGAGCATGCCACAAGACTGATTCCTGTGACGCAACGTGCATTTGTTGGCAGTGCCTAATTATAGCACAGAAAAACTACTGGCTTCCCCTCCCGAGGACAGAGTACACGATCTCCGCAGTACGCCTGCACTCTGCTCTCAACTTCTTCCTGTGTCACGCTGCCCACTGACACCGCAGTAAAACAGCACTCGATCATTCCTCAGGCTGCTGTGAAACAGCAGTGCTCTGGAGATTTCTCAGCCTGCCTCCATCCTCAAGGCTAAGCTGTGCCAGATCTAGGTAGTTGGCTGTTTCCTCGAAGATTTCTAAGTCACTTTCTCACTCCGAGATACCATCAGAGTCTCGTATCAACTCTGCACATCACCCCAGTGCAGGGAGATGCAACATCTGCGAAGTAAAAGCATTTTGTAAAAATCTCTTTATTTTTCCCCTCTAATCAGCAGTGAAAGCAACCGACACGAAAAGTAGGCTATAATCACATCAGCATCAAAGTTCAAAAGGTTTCCTTACTTTACAGGAAAGGTGAGCCTAATGGCTGTGAAAGATACAAATTAAATGGAAAATGAAAAAGAAATACACAGTAATTAAGAGGCATTTGTCTTGATCAACACGCTAGGAGAGTGCTCCTGGAAAACAGAAAAAGATTTAGTGCCCCTTCTTTTTAGAGAAGAAAGTCTTTTATTGAAAATTATTCTTGTCATAAGTATCTATATTCAGTTTATTAAGATACTTGAGAATGTTTTAAGCTGCTTCCCCAGGAGGCATTGAATTATTTTTCTTCATTTTTTTCACACTTTTATGTGCGTTTGGTGCTTGAGCAAGATGTTATTTTGATAGCTTCAGGGACAGAAATGTTCTAATTTTTCAACAACCAGGTACAGTAGAAATGAATGCCACACACCATCCCTCAGAATGTCTGTCCAACAAGACTTGGTTTGTCAAATATCCTGAACTATGTAAGGCTGAGCACATCATTTAGTCTTAGAGTACCTGAGCCCTCCACGCCTAATTGCGGCCGTGTTTGTTTTTCTGATACAGGAGCTATGCAGAGATGACAAAATCATTTAACAAAGGCCACCAAATATTCAGGAAGGACTAACAAATTCTCTTTTTCCCAGTTAACTTGAAATTTAAATTGCTATGACGGGAAAATTAGTATCTCTAGATGCCACTAATAAGTCTTTAAACCAGTATTTTTTTTCAGAGTTTTGAGGTATTTTTTTCCAGATAAAGTCCCATTATTAAAAAAAAATAAATAAATAATGTTACTTTTTCTTGAATGGCTGCAAAGAATGCTTGACCTAGAAGAAAAAAAGTTTTCAGGAGTGCAGAAACAAGGTCACCCTTGCTTTCTATTTTGCAAAATTTTCAACGACGTGCCAACCATGTTTCATGACTATCATGTGTGTCACAACCCACCCGCCCGGAAATACTGCCCTGATCCATCCCCGTAACCATAATGATGAATCGTGTAACACCTGGCTAATTTCAGTATTGGTGATTTAGAGTCATCAGCAATATTTCCCAAATTACACTGACAGCAAACTAGAATAATATTCCTTCCTTCCAAGAGCTATATTTGGCTGTAATTACCTGGGCATTTGAACTCCAAGCAACCTCTTGGACATTTTAATTGGGACATACCAAAACCTGAAAAGATCAGCCAAATCTTTAAAGATGAGGTTGCTCAAGGGACGGAGTAAAACGAGTCGTAGTAACACGATACTTGGATAGTTACAGCCATTGTCCAAATACATTGCATAAACTTCTGGCAGTTCAAAGACAAACCAAACCAAACAAAGAAACATTAAAGTATTTCAGTGGACTTTCCTATTTACCTAAATCATTAGAGTGAAGTGTGTCAATATAGTATCAGACAATTAAAACACGGCAGTGTACAAAGCTATGTAATAATTCTGCCAGGGAAACAGCATTAGTTTGTATAAAACCTCCTGTCTCAACTAAGATGAAGGGCATTAAATACACAAGTATAAAGTACAGTATCAGTGTCCTGATTGGCACGGGCCAACTAATTGCCTGTAAGTAACCAAACAATGAACTCAGAATGTGGCAAGCCAGCTGAATTGAAGCCTACGCATCTGATCAAGCAATGCAGCACGCTGTGAAGCCTGCTCAGCCTTACCCATAGCAGGGAGCCCATGAAATACGTTACCTACCCTGTATGAATAATGAACTGTCATCCTGATCGTCGGATCTGGACTTTTACCTTGTATTAGGCAAATTGTTCAAAGCGTTTGTTGAGCCCAAATGCTCCTCAAAGACTGCGGTTTGCTCGGTACGTTTGCATCCTGGAACAGGCATTGGAGGAACAACCAAATGAGGACGGTCTGAATCTGACTAGTAATCAGTTACCTCAAAGTAATAAAAAACCAGACATATCTTGAAAGTGCAACAGAGACTCCTTTGATGTCTCCTTTAGTAAACACAATAGGCCAAATTAGGTACTGCTGTCAGCTGCTGCAAGAGCCTCCGTCATTTTCAGTAAGAGTACTACAGCATTAGCACTCAGTCTGCTGGCAGCCGGAGGGGTCAAAAAGCAGGTACAACGAGGAAAAACAACCGACTCCGAAGTCAGGGGGTGAAGCAGGTCACCATTAAGCACCTTTCTGAACGGATCTCCAAGTGATGTAACCCAGCCTACCGGAGCTGATAACACTGCTTTGCTCCAGAGAGGTGTTTCACCTGCTCAGTTCAGCCTGCGTTAGCTGATCTCAGCAGCTGTGCCTACCCTCTCAGCCCCTCACACCCCTACGTTAGGATGCTATTTTGCCATATATATATATAGATAAGTATAATTTGGGCTTGCTTATGAATGTAAACAATTCATCCAAAAGGAGAAAGCTAACGTAGTTAATAACTACATGGCAACACAACTTTTTTTTTGCGAATGGGCATCGTAATTGCACCGTGCATATGCCCACCTGTGAGGTTTCATGCTTCAATATCCATAGGGCTGAATCAGCACAGAAAATAAACATTCCTTTGACTGCTGCTGACATGAAAGGAGTATCTCTTTCATTGAGATCAAATGGTAGTTTTTCTGGAAAAAAAAAAAAAAAAATCTGTGAATACTAATAAATATCCTGTAGCAGTTTTCAGACATTCAGTTGTTTAGGTCTGTGAAAATAACATAATGAACTTTATGTTGTCAAAACTTTCTGCTTGTAAAATAGCTCTTACTTGTCCTAAGGATTTCAGGAGAAGATAAAAATCTTCAACTGAAAAAAAATAAATGTCACTACAAGACTAAAAAAGTCCTAAACAATGAAGTGCTAAGCAAAATCCTGAAGGCCAAAAGATTTTGTGGAGTCTGTTGATCTTGGTGTAAGTTGCTGAAGTATTTTAAATTCTTGTGAATCCCACACGGCGTTGTGTGAGCTCTGAACCCTCAGCATGCTATTATTCAATAAAGCGCTCAAGCTTTTCACCGAGACTTGCATGTGGACCTAGATGTTAGATCTGACAACTCCCTGCATATAGCAGCAAAACCTTAAAATAGCATATTGTGCTTTGCCCCATGACCTAGCAGTGAGACAGAAAGCCCTGCTATACAAAGGGAACATGTGGGATAGCTGGGAAATTGTTTCAGTGAGGATGTCAGAGAAGCTGTTGAAGAAATAATGCAAGATGAAGAGTTGCCAGGCTGGATCTTTGATCTTGTATTCCTTAGAAAGGTAACTGCTGCCTAACACATTGACCTTGGGCTGGACTCCAGATGTGAAAGGGTTTTACCACGTCTTCCCAACAGAAAATGAAGAAATGGCCCTGGAGGTAGCAGCCAGGAGCTGAGCATGTGCTATGAAGGCTGGAGCTGTGACCTTGCCATCCTTCTTGAAGGGGAGAAGCCCCCAGCTATACGGGAAGGGCTGCTGGCCTTTGGTATTTAAAACACGGATCAGGTGGAACCCAGTGACATCCCCAAACCTGTTTTTCTTCCAATGTCATGGAATGGCAGCACTCGGGTTGGCAAGCTCAGTCTTTTTTTTTTTTTTTTTTTTCAATTTGTTGCATTAAAAATGTGATCGAACAATCTTATTTTATCAGCTTTCCCCTGTGATCTTATTCCTCACGGTCTCTGCCGAATCAAATGGGTCCCCAATAAGGTGAGATTTGCTCAGACTGAAGAGGGATTTGACTTGCAACCTCGATTTATGATAATTAAAGGAAAAACAAGTTGGACAGGATGCTGAAGAGAAAATTGAGGCCTGGTAATACGTGCAAACAGGGAGAAGCTGTTGTTGTTTTTCATCTTCTTAGTGCTTTGTTTTCCAGCAGCAGAAGCTGTTGTGTTTTGTCTCTTCCAAACAGAAACTAATAATGATCTACTGGATACACTAATGAGAAGGGTGGCTTTCTTTTTTTAAAGTAATTTTTTATTTTCCTGAAAAGGAAGACATTTTCCTCTTTCCTCTCAGCTATATGAAGTGTTGCATATGGAATGCTGCTTGGAGCCTTGGGTGCTCGGTTGATCCACCTGTTTTGGAGACAGGTAGCATGGGAGAAGTGTAAAAATGGCTGGTCTAAAGCAAGCAGAAGCGAAAATTTAACACTGATGTGCAAGCCAGCTACACTTAACTAAGGCTGGGCTGCTTTTCCCTCGAGTCCTCTCCATTCTGAGAAAAGTGCTATAACAATATATCAAGGCGGTCTCCATTCGTGCTTGCACTGCTGGAACATCATGAAACGGCTGAGAGGGGGTGGCACAATCAGCCTTCAGAGGGTACTGACCATTTGGCTGCACTGGGCCCTGTAACGCTGTACTTAAAAAACAAACAAATACAATTTAGGGAGAGAATTTGAGTCAAGTAGGCTATTCCCAGTATTTTTGCAAACCATTCATTACCATGCCACATCTACTGAGCTATTGTGCATAAAAAAACGTCAGAAAACCTAACCCAGCTCCACTGGCACACAAAGATTGGGCATGGTAATACCTCCATTCAGCCACTTCTGAGGATTAGCTTCAAAAATCAAATTAAAATGAAACAAGCCCAAATAGACCGGGCAGTTGCACAGTAAGTTGCAACGCCCATCTTCAGCAACCCTCATCTAAGCCTCTTGCATTTTGCATTATTAATATGAGGGATTTGTGCAAGTAGCATGCAGTACACCCACTGCGTATGGTAAAGGTGAGAAACCTGGGTGCGTGCCACATCGTGGGTATTCCTATTGAAGTAAAATACTTATTTGAGGTTATTAATATCCCAAAACTGAGGGGAAAACACACAGTTTTCACCCTGCAGTTTGAGGAAAAGGAGATGAGGGTGAAGAGCGTGACATTCTCCAGGCAGGGCTGTGTGCTGTGACTTGCAGAAGTTGTCCCAGCACTGTAACTACACTTGGTTTTCGTACCTAAACAAATCGTTATTTTTAATCTATTGCCCCAATTGTATTTAATGGCATTTAAACTGATGCGTTTGTTTGAAAAAATGACCATTAAGCACCACAAAGCATTTCTCTAAAAAGGAATACTGAAGTGATGTATGCAAACCTATTTCTGAGGAACGGCTGTAACCAAGAGGTATACTCAATACTAATTTACCGATTTCAACATGTAACTGCTGAAATGCAGCTAAACAAAACCCGATTTACCAAATTAACAATACCCATCATCAATTTGTTAATTATTACCTATTAGCAGGGAAAACTACACACTCTCAGCAGCATGTTTGTGCAGTTCTTTATTCCTTAAATTGTACTGCAAAACGATAATGTTAAGGTAGATCTAGAGTCTTAATAGAGAGGGCATTAGTCTCAAATAGTAATTAAAAGATGTGGAACTGAAACGTTGCTAGGTACCCCAGTTTCCTGAGATGACAATAAAGTAGTCCAGGAAGTTTATAAGCAATTTAAGAGAGAGGAAACGTCTGTGACAGAAAGGAAGATGTACTGAAGATTTGGAGCAGTAAAAATATCCTTAATCCAGACTGCGGCAAGGACCAGCAAGGTGTTTTTCAGCAATATTCGTGATTAGGACAAGAGGAATATTAATGCAGTAGTGGGGGCTCCATTTCCTGACTGTGGTATTTAATACAATTGAAGCGATAAGCAGAAAACGTAGATTACAACAGAAAAAATACAAAAAAAATCCAGATGTAGGAAGAACGTAGACGGGCTGAGAGTGCCGCCCCCCCTACACCCCCCCCCCGTATCTCGGGGCCCCGCTGCCCCCGGCCGCCCCCTCAGCAGGAGCAGCGCTCTGAGGCGCTCCGCGGAAGGAGACAGCAGCGCGGGGAGAGAGCGCGGGAGGAGGGATACCTCCCGCCCGCCTCAGCGCAGCCGCGTAGACCCGGCGGCCGCCATTTTGTGTGCGCGCAGCCACGCCGGGGCAGGGCGGCGGCCGGGCGGGGCCCCGCCGTCATCAGCCGCGCCGGGCTGCGGGGCGAACTCTCGCGAGACCGCCCCCGCGGGCACGGACAGGGGCAGGGGCAGGGGCGGGGAGCGAGCGCCTCGGCGGCCCCGCCCCTCACAGGGAGGCCCCGCCCAGTGGGCGGAGCCAGCGGGGAGGTCCCGCCCCCTCCCTCCCCTCCCCTCCCGGCGGCCGGGCCAGGCTGAGCGGCGGCGGTGCGCGGCCGGCGCCTCGCGGCTCCTTCCTCCTCCTCCTCTTCTTCATCTTCATCTTCCTCATCCTCAGCCCCAGCCCCGGTCTCCTCCCGGCTCCCGGCCCCGCCGCCCAGCAGGCAGCCCCGGCTCCGGGTGCTCCATCTCGGGCGCCCCCCTCGGCCAGCTTCCGGAGGAAGGAGCGGCGCGGCGCGGCTGCCCCCTCCCCCTGCCCGCCTTCCTCCTCCTCCTCCTCCTCCTCCTCCTCCTCCTCCTCCTCGCTCCGGAATCACCGCGGCGCACGGACGGGCCCGGCGGCGGCGGCGGCGGCACTCGCACACAATGGCGCTGAAACGCATCAACAAGGTGAGGAGGCCGTGCCCCCCCCCCCCCCCCTTTTAATTAATTATTAATTATCATCATCATCATTATTATTATTATTATATTTTTTTATTTAGCCGGTTGCGCCACAACCCTCGGTGATTAAGGTTTGGGGAGGGCACCCAGCACGGCTGGGACCGTGGTGTTGCTGTGTGTGTGTGTGTGGTGTTTAGGGGTGAGCCCAGCCCGGCTCGGCCCCGCAGCCGTGTGAGGATCCCAGCCCGGCTCCGAGGCCGAGCAGCAGCGGGGCCAGCCCCGGTGTCAGCCCTACCGGGGGCTCCGTGAGGGCGGGGAGCGGCTCCCTTCCCTCCCCCCCCCCCCCTTCTCTTTTCCTTCTCCTCCCCCCCGCGGCGCGGAACTTGTTCCCCGCATCGTAAGATGGCGGCGGGGCCGGGCCGGGCCCTCACCGGGCTCCCGCAGCCCCGGGGAGGCTCCTCCGCGGCTCCCCCCGAGCCCTTTTCCCTTTTCTCTCCCCCCCCCTTCCTCACACACACACACACCCCACAGCCCCCCCCCCCCCCTCACCCCATACCCTCTGCCTCACGGAAGCTGCGTTGCACAATCGCGGCTTTCGCAGCGCGAGCGGGAAGGGAAAAGGGAAAAAGAAAAAAAAAACACCACAGAAACAAAACAAAACAAAAAAAGGGGAAAAAATAAAAAATAAAGTGGAGGTGAGGGAAGTTTAAAACGCTGCCCGCTGACGGGAAAGGCCCCTTTTAACCTCCCCCCCCCCCCCTCAGCAAGATGGCAGAAAGGCGCCGTGTCCCGGCACCTCAGGGCGCCCGGGGGCTGCTGCTGCCACAGCCCCGCCGCCTCCGTGCCCTCCTCCCAGGGCTATCGCCGGGCTTGGGGCTCGGTTGGGATACTCCCTGCTCTGCTTTGTCATCAGCTCCTGCTTATGAAACTGCAGCCGGGCGCCGCAGGTGAGAATTCAGGGTGAAAAGCAGGGGGGTGGTTGTGCCGTGGAGGGAGGGTTTGCCTCCCTCCAGCCACCGGGCTGGTGGTCGAAGCCTTGAAAAGCCTTGAAACGATTCATCCGAACTTGGGAATCGATAACCCACCCGCCTGGCTTCACGGTTTGGGCCTCTTGTGTGCGGTTTCCAGGCCTGCATTAATCCTCACACTCTACAGTAGCAGCGAGCTGCTTCGCTCACCCTGTGCTGGAGTTTAGGATTTGTGCTTGTTTGTTTGTTGTTTTGTTGTTGTCCTTTTTTTTTTTTTAA